CAGGCTTATATTAACTACTCCGAAATTATATTTCTGTAGCGTAGATATTTTGCACAAATACCAATCTCCTGATTGCACTGTTGACTATCTCTCCGTGGGTTGCATCTTCCAGAATATTTAGATCTTGGGCAAGCCTGGTCCAGTCTTGCTTGGCAAGGAACATTTGCTTGAAAAACAATTATGCAGGCTAGAAAACCCTTGCTCCATGCTCTTCTGTTGGCAAGAAAATGGGACAAAATGTAATTAGAGTTTGATTCTCTCAGAGAAGACCACAATTGGGCAGTTAAGAACATGCTCGACCATCCTGCCAAAAGTGCTCTCACTGTATGCCAACGTAACCAAACAGGGAGCTTATCCATTTTTTCTTCGAATGGGAAACAGTAGTTGGGAGCCCTACTACTAATATATGCTGTTATTTTTGTATGGTATGGTATGATAAGGCATTTAAGAGCCCTTGTTAGTTAGATACATGGAGTGCAATTAGGCTGATATGAAAATTTTCAGGAGTAACTACAAGGACTGCTCTGAAATATTTTCTTTAGCATCAAATTATCACTCTAAAACACATGTGATCTGATATAGATGTTTTATAATCTCTAAATGAAATTTGTGAAACTAAATTCAGGATGTGGAGCAATAATCACACATCAAGTTATCAACAGAAACCTATCAGCTTAATCAAAGAGATTCCTTCTATTGGGCCTCAGGTTGGGTGATAAAATAATGAAGTTCGGTGATGTTTATTTGTGTAACAAGAATTTAAAAGTCGGTCACAATAAAAAAAATCTGGCTCACAGCCAGAAAGCATTTGGGACTAACGTTCTAGTGGACAGATTTATTTGCAAATTCAAGAGTGTGGTTTGAATTCGATGGTTTGACCTATTCACTTCTTCTCTTTTGGGTTCATCTGTTTGATTCTTTTTAAGGAATCAGATTTATTGTGAACTATGGGTGGTATAATGCTTGTGGATCTCACCTGGATGGGTACTTGCTGTTGCGAGCACTTCTCCTAGTCCTTGCTGTGCCACCAAATCCATTTCACTTGTTTGCTCAGTTATGTACATATGTGTCTACTGGACATTAATAGCTATTTTCATTTTTCTTGCTATAGTTCCTTTCTCCGTACATGTCTTATCAATATATTTTGTATTCAATTCCTTTTTTTTAAAAAAAAAGTTTCTTACTAAGTTGTTGTTTCTCTTATTCTACTGCAGGTTAATTTTGATTCATGTTCAACTAGGCAAACATCATATCCTTGCAGCATCTTTGAGGATCGCCATCCATCAACTGTTTCAATGACTGTTCTTGTTGTTGTTGAGATGTTTAATGCCCTAAATAACCTAAGTGAAAATCAATCTCTCCTGTAAGAGCTCTTATGCTTCACTTTATCTTTACCTTTTAAGTCTAAAATCGTCAATATATAAACCCATACTCCCATGTACTCAATTTAGTGTATGGGGTCTTTCGGCCAAATAACTATCCAAAAACTGCCTAGAAAATTGGCACCTATGCTCCTAATATTATAGGGGGTGTTTTGCTCTCGGAACTCTGACATGAACAAAGTGGAAGATATCTCTAATAGCCTGTCTCATTCTCAATAACTTCAGTGTGATATTGCAACTAGACATTCTTATTATTTTTGCTGGGCTGATGGTAATAGGTGTCTCTAAACATGTGCAATATTGTGTTCTAATATCTGGCTCTTGTCTTTACTTTGATCTTTGGGCAAGATATAAATCAATCTTACATATCTGGAATAATTTAAATTTATTCTAATTTAAATAATTTAAACTTACTTTTGCACTTGATTTCATTTAGTGCCATTCATCCATGGAGTAACCTGTGGCTTGTTGGGTCGATTGTCCTGACAATGCTTCTTCACATATCTGTTCTGTATATTGAACCTCTATCAGCTCTTTTCTCAGTAAGTCACATTTTTCTTCCCCTTGTAGCTGTCTATATACACTATGCTTGTATTCAAATGTCCCTCTGTTCTTTATAGTAATGTTCCAGGAAATCCTGATTCATCATGGTTGACTTATACAGGTGTCTCCATTATCTTGGGCTGAGTGGAAAGTCGTTCTTTATCTCTCCTTTCCTGTCAGTATTTGTTTCTACCTTGACTTACAATGCTAATTCAAATTATCTGGTGAACTAATGTTCTTATGTTAGGAAATGAAAAAGTTAGACAGTGTCGTGAACATTCAGTTAATTTTTCCTTCACTACTTGACAAACTTTATCTGATTGTTAGGTAATTTTGATTGATGAGGTATTGAAGTTTTTCTCAAGAAGCTCCCGAGGTATGTTCTCATAACACTTAAACATCACAATTTTCTTAAGTTTGGTAGTTCTTTAATGCTTTACCAGTTAATGCTGTTTTAGCTTGCCTTAGCTGAGCTTGCTTGTTATTTACAGGTCGGAGATTCCCTTTAAGGTTACGGAGACGTGAGATACTACCAAAAGAATCCCGAGATAATTAATTTTAGATCTCGGCACACATACTGAGTTGGACACAGCACAATACGGGAAGCTTGACCTCTTGGCTGATTTTGGCTAATGATTATGAACTTGGAGGCTGACAAACATTGTAGGAATTTTTTCATACCTCTTTGTGGATGACCACAAACTGTTATTAACGGGGGCTTCAGAATACGTTTGTCTGTAAAAAAACATCGAGAAGTTTCGGATGTATGTTGTAGGATCTCTAGATGTTATTTATAGACAGCACATTCCTATTTGTAACTAATGCGTACGAAATATGATCTATATCAACTGTATTGCCCTCACCTCAGAAGATTCGAAACTTCTATTCAGTTAGCGGAAGTGTTAATGTCTATGTTACAACAACGAATACATATCAATATACATATCTGTGGAACATTCTTTCCTGCAGTTCGCATTTTACCTTAACAAAGATTCATAAGCTGCAGCTAGAATTCGTGCCTGACTGCAATGACTTCAACCTTCAATCAGTTTCTACAATTGGAAGAGTCTTGACAGACTGAGGTAACAACTGAAAACACAATCAGTTCTTATAATAATCTAGGTATACCTCCAGGAACAAGATGCTGCATTGATGCTTCATGGAAGGAGAACTTTTCAGGCTTCGGAATTTTCATCCATAACTGAAGACTCATACAATCATTTTCACACGAGCAATCTCTTCAAAATATACTTCTGCTCAAGCTGAACTAGCAGGTTTAGTTCTAGCATATAAGGTGTGCTGCAGGCTACAAATACAACATCCAATTTTTATTTCAGATAATCAAGCTCTTAGTGGAAACTCTACAACATAATCACTTTGCACAAAATTCACATTATTGGAGTCTTGGACCATTTATTTTTCAATTGCAGATCTTAACGCAAGGAAAGCCTCTAAATACAAGATGGGTCAGAAGAGAAGTAAACAAGATGGCATACTATCTAACAGAAAAGGCTATGAATACAGTAAACTTTTCAAGAGTTCAACAAGTTTGCCACAACGATACACATGTGTGTTATAGACCTACTTGTCTTACAATGGATAGTCTTCGTTCTTCCCCGTTGGGGGATGTAACCATAGCTCATATAATATGTTTCTAGTATCAATGAAGTGCATGAGTTTTTTTTAAAAAAAGAATTCATGCCTACGATATGTTAAGACACATAATCGTAACTTTATAGAGGTCGCTATTGTTTTGCATGAGATTGATACCAGAGTGGTATCAAATTTGATACCTCCTAGTATATACCAGGTTGATACCTGCAGGTACCCTTGGTACCAAGTTGATACTTGTTGGTACTAGACCTTAGCTAAGAGGGAAAGAGGAGAAAGGGTGACTGATATACTTGTAGGCTGAAACCTGTGGGTACCAAATATGTGTACAAGATCTAGTTCTCTCTAAGCCGATACATGTTGATATTACCACTTAGCTGAGAGTTGGAGAGGAGAAAGAGTGGAAATGGTTATTGGTTTCGGCTCTCTAACTTGGTGGCTATTCTCCTACTTGGCAGCGTTGCCACCCAACCCACATGCAACCACCTTCACTGGATCTACCTGAGCGGCTGAGCATAGTTCGTCATGCCAAATCTTGGCCGAACCACAATGATGATGCATTGGTGGGTGGCACAGCTGCGGTTGGTGCAAATATTGCAGGGAATGTTGTCTCGAAGCTAGAGAAACTTCTTGATGACGGCCATCTCTGGCGAGGCGAAGGCAAATAAGGGGGGACTTGCTGCTACTCTTGACCGGGGAGGCTAAGTTGCTGCGAGATGTCGATGACGTCGGATAATTGGACCGGAGGATGTCCAGGAGGAGCATGACTCCACTAGACAATCGTGGATAATTGGAGAAGCCCTTAATGTGCTTTGGTAGATAATCGTGGATGCATGACTCCACTAGATTTTAAACACGCCTGTAAATATTACACATACCGACATACATCACGCCTTCATGGAATTTAATAAAATCAAGAATTTGTGACTGACCTTGCTCTCTTGGAGAGTGCGCTTGAGAGCATTCACGGGTACATGAGTACGGTGTGTGTGCTTGGGTGTCATTCACATAATCGAAAAAAGAAAATCTTATATATGAATGAAAAATAAAATCATAAAACATTATATTGTTTTTAATAAGACAGACGGACATTACCTTCGAAAAATCAAAGTAACTTATATATAAACCGAGATAGTAATTGAATTCCCTCTATATTTGTCGAGGTGTTTTGCTTCTATCTTTACTGTATCATACATTCACAGCAGCGTTTTGCAAGTTTAATGTAATACCTTTGTCTTATGGCACCTCAGATTCTTATGTATTTAATTTGGTGGGTTTTTCTTTGCGAGATATTTTAGGGTTTTTGGTAATTTATGCCTAAAGATTAGTAATTGCATACAAATGCCTTGCTAGTGATTTTTTTCCTCTCAAACAGATGCACAGTTATTTACTAAGGGAAATCGTGTTTCTGCAGAGTCATTTCATTTTGCCAGTTACTTTGACTGTGAAGTCTGTTTCACCATCCACTGTTAAAACGTTTAATTTCCATCGTGTAATATAATCTGAAAGATGAACAACCGACATATGAAATAAATAATCCACATGCCGGTTATTATTACACATACACTCCACATGTTCAAAGTTTTCTTTCAGATGCATTTCTATGACCGCGGCAACACACGGGATTTCCACTAGTTTTCAGAGAAAAGCAGGCAAGCATCACAGAGGCTTACGGTCCAGCCATCGTTGACCCATGGCAAAACCTTGTTTAGGCTTGTATGATATAGGAGCATGACCACTACCCTGCACAACAAACCAACCATGAGTCCTCATTTCTGTCACTTACATCCAAAGACAGCATGTAAAGAGATGGGGAGCATTAGACACTTATAACAACGATCCATTCAATCAGAAAAGATCAGGCAAATGAAAAAGGATCATTCAATCAGAAAAGATCAGGCAAATGAAAAAGGATCAACCTTTAATGTGGCAAAAGTCAAGTTGTTGTCATACATAACTGTAAATCTGCGCAAAAGAGAGACAAGACAATGCATAATTCCCATCAGATCAGATAAACGCAAAAATTAACACCAACTGAAATGTGCATCATGTGAAACAAAGTAGACGGCTTAACCCCGCAGCCTGGCCATCAAGATGCCATGCTCTCCAGTCATCAATAATGGTGAAGTTTAAGGATCTTATCCATGCCTGAGTGCCCAGAAATGGCACCATGAGATCATGGTCACCGCTACACCAAGAGAGTTGATAATAATTGTAAGACGTAGAATAAGATTCAAGCTGTATATATAGACATAATTTTTGTGTGATGCTTTCACCAGAATACAAGCGCCCGGTAACCTCTTGTGGTGAGGTTAAGATGGTACTGTATGGTGCTTGGAACGTCCCTAGCATAGGGGAATACTTCGGTATTGCATCTTGTCCACACACCGACCGTTCCCTATTTCATGGTTGTGTCATCAAATTAGCTGAATAATTCTACTTGCTTAGCAATCTAGCTATCCCTATGCATAAAGGTAGAAGAAATCACAAAGGTTACCTTCTTGATTTTAAGAGCATCTCTGGTTGCCTTGTCATTCATCCATATGTTCAATAGGTAGAACCGGTATGACTACATTTTAGAAAGAAATGCGAAACAGCATTACAAAAACAGGGAGATGAACCCTATGACTATGAGCATCTGCTTCGGAAAAAAAAATCTTCCATCGGAATAACACTCAAGGGATTAATAATACTTACAAAACAATTGATAGTAGGTCGAGCAGTTGGCTCACTTAGCCGACTGTATTCTTCTAGTAGAGCCCTACTTGAAACACCATTTATGGGTTTGGGTATTAAACGACCAGCACATTTATCAAGCAAGATATCTCCATTGTCTAGTTCAGACATGAGCTGCAACACAGGGATGTGCATCAGTAAGATACTAGCTGGATTTTAGTAATCTTAAATAACTAGGCCAGTGCAAGAATCTTACGTTATCAACAGCATTTAGGACATTCGCACAGATTTCATTTGTTGGATTGACATAATCTCCTTTGCAGTTCGCTACCGCAGCCTTAAAAGAGGAAAAGGGAAATGCTAGAGTTGTAACACACCACACTATCGAAGCTCATAAATATGGAATTACCTCGTATAGCTGATCAGATATGATTCCAACGCCATGAGCATATGGAATTATGGAATTACGATCATACTTTGGGTCTGTCAAGGGGCTGCCAACCATATAACCCTGTAAATATTTTCTTATATAAGCACAAGAAAGAAAAAAAATACATGAAGGTACACTACTAGAATTCCTTAACCAAAAGAAATTTGTTTGAAGGATACAGAATGGCATGCCTTAAGCTTAATTAATGGTTGCTGCCTTTGTTCAATTCCTGGAGAATAGGTAAGTGATCAAGACAAGGAAAGGAACAAGCTACCCGATTAGAATTTATGATGAAACATAAGCAACTGCAAACATTAATCAATTTTGTCCAAGTTAAACAGTTGAAAATGTAGTGAATTTGTCAATCTGAAACACCATTTGAATTTTGAAACTAGTTCAAACTTCTTGTAACTTGTAAGAACACTTTTATACTAAAAAAATAAAAACAATAACAGCTCTAACAAACACATATGGTAAAGACGATTTACTACAAATTATCTTATCATCTATTCCCTTTGTCCCAAAATATAACAACTTCTAGAGTTTATCTTTTTTTTCTGAAATATAACAAACTAGTACTCCCTCCGTCCTAAAATATAACAACTTTTAGCCCTCAGGATTTGTCCCAAAATATAACAAGTTCTCCATCAACATTCTCTTCCCAACCAATCACAACCCTCCACCATTCACTTTTCCCACCTACATCCACTACTCATCCAATCACAACCCTCCACTATTCACTTATACATACTTTCTTAATAACCGTGTCAAACTCTAAAACTTCTTATATTCTGGGATGGATGGAGTACATGTAAAAGGTGATTTTTACCACTAAAAGCCCCATACGACCCCTTGGTTTCAACACCCCAAGTAGTTCGGGCCCACACCTCACCAATCCCAAGGAGGCAAACAAGTAATTTTACCCCTCTCCTTAATTGCTATGCCAAGGGCTAAAACTTGCTATATTTTAGGATAAAGGGAGTAATTTATTTGAGAATATGTGAAATATATCATAGATTACCTTCTGAAATGTATTGTGCAATAAGTGGAATCACCTTTCCAGCATATGAGCTTCCCCCAACATAGAAATGATTTGAGAGATAGCTTGGGTGATCATTGAACCACTACACTAGTATGCACAATATGATAAGCAGTAGTAATAAGGTTTGTTCTTACTGTACTAGAATACCAAGTTTCTAAATTACCTTCTTCAGAAATGTGACGACTTGCAAAGAGGATGATATATCCCCAACATTATAACCTTTGGGATCACGCGCATATGAGAAACCAGACCCAACAGGAGTGTCCAAGAAGATGATGCTAGCTATCTGTGTAGTAATTTATTGAATCACAAACTAATCAAATAAACTGAATAGATAAATATCCTGAATCCTTTGGAGGAGCATATCACCTTTGTCCATGAATATTGATTATTAACCAATCGTGGCAAACTACCATTATAAGGCGCCAGCACGAAATTCATAGGACCTGCACAAAATCAAACATAGATAGGGCTCAACACGGGCAGTGTAAACTATCTGTCAGAGATTACAGAGCATATGGGCCAAACTGCAGGCCCATTAACTCCCCAAGAGGGAAAAGTCATGGCAAACTGTTACAATATGGCCACATATAAATCATACTCCCTCTGTCTCATAATATAAGACGCGGTCAAATTAGCACGGTCTCTAAAACTAATGTTTAGCTTATAATTTCTCATATACAATAAGGCTTGTAGCAACAAAATTATAACAATATGAAAGTAAATTTAAATCTCAATCTAATGATATAATTTTTAACTAATAAAATTAATTTTATATCATACTAAGTTTTGGTCAAATGTCTTAAATGTTGAATATTGAAATGCGTGAGCGCCTTATATTATGAGATGGAGGGAGTACATAATTTATTTGAGTAAATTTCATAAAACTACAGTACTTTGATCAATCTATAAAAAAATACATATTTAAGAATGTGTATCATAAAACTACGGACTTAACATCATATTTTTCATAAAACTACAAATAGGATATTGTATCAGAAAACTACAAATTTAACATCAATTTTATCATAAAACTACAACTTTCGTAACATCAATAGTGCTATGGATATAAACTCTAAAACCTATAGTTCTTTGATAACTTCATCACTAAATCTGTAGGATGTTTTAAATATGTAGTTCTATAATAAATTTGGTGCTAAATTTATAGTTTTGTGATACGTATTTTTAAATATGTAGTTTTGTGAAATTTACTCAATTTATTTTTGGTTCTGTTAACACGAGAATATATTTCTTAACCTAAAAGCAACGAAAACATAGCTGTGTGTTAGCTAGTTCGACAATTCATTTTTTTCATATATCAGTTTCACCTGTCCATATATTATGCAAAATGTAACATACGCGTACAATATTCAGCACTCTGCAAGGGATCACCCTTTAGCCAGTTGCCACAGCAATTAGTAATGAGTGACCAGTGAAATACTAACCTACTTCAAAGACGAGAGCGGTGAATCCAGAGCAAAGGGGTCCACCTGTCAGCCAGAGGATGACAGGGTCTGTACTAGGACTCCTCTCCGATTCAACGAAGTAGTAGAATAGCTCAGTGCCGGTCTCCTCATCCACACTAACATACCTGTGTATGCACATGTACATGCACTACCAATTAAGGCACAATTAAGGGACATACTTAACCCAAACCATGTGGCATCCCATATACCAAACTAATCACGGAAAAGCTAGTTGGCGCGCGCGCGCCGCCAACGAGCATTTTCGGCCCACGCGGCCCGTGCGCTCTCTCTCTCCTTTTCTTCGCCTGGCAGTTTCTCTCTCTTTTTTTTATTTTTTTTTCTCGCTGGTACTCTTTTTTCGCTGTTTCTTTCTTTTTTTTTTCTTTTTCGCTGTTTCTACTGTACCGTACTAGTTTAGATTAGTATTTTTACTAGTGATTAGTTTACTAGTAATTTTTAAATTTTAACTTTAAAATTTTAAAATTTGGACTTGAAACTTTTTAAATCTCGAGTTGAAAAATTTCAAATCTCAAGTTGAAAGTTTTCAAATATTTCAAATCTGGACTTGAAAGTTTTCAAATCTCGAGTTGAAAATTTTCAAATCTCAAATTGAAAGTTTTCAAAATTTTTAAATCTTGACTTGAAAGTTTTCGAATCTAAGTTGAAAGTTTTCGAATCTCAAGTTGAAAGTCTTCAAATTTTTTAAATCTGGACATGAAAGTTTTCGAATCTCAAGTTGAAAGTTTTCGAATCTGAGTTGAAAGTTTTCAAATTTCGAGTTGAAAGTTTTCAAATCCTAGTGGAAAGTTTTCAAAATTTGACTTTTAAATTTAAATCTTAAATCAAAAGTTTTCAAATCCGACTTAAAAATTTTCAATCTGTTGATAAGAAAATATCCCGAAAAAAGGAAAAAAAAATCTTAAGAATCTTCCCTGATTACTCGTCATTAGTAGTTAAGTGGGTGTTAACTAATAATACTATAGATAATTAGGGAGGTGCTCGCTACTGGCGAGGACGCGCCAGCTAGCAGCCCGCGGTGTTACAACCGGAAAAGCTAGCTCGCGCGTACGCGCCGGCAACGCGCACACAGTTTTCAGCCATACTTAGCGTAAGTGCATAACTAACATTGTTAGTTTAGATAATCACGGTAATTAAGTAACTAAGGTAATTAGCTTTTTCACGAGTGGTTATAGATGCGTTTCTTCTTTTTTTTTTGAAAATTTGAAAATCAACTCAAAATTTGAAAGCTTTTTAACTCAATTTTGAAAACTTTCAACCCGATTTTAAAAACTTTCAACTCAAATTTGAAAACTTTCAACTCGAATTTTGAAACTTTCAACTCGAAATTTGAACTTTTAGGTCAAATTTGAAAACTTTCAACTCGAGATTTGATAACTTTCAACTCACAGATTTAAAAACTTTCAAGTTAAGATTTAAAAACTGTTAACACAACACATTTAAAAACACGTGTGCTACATATTAAAAAAATAATCGGAAAAAAGAAAAGCGAAAAAAAAGAAAGCGAAAAGAGGAAAGAAAGGAAAAAACTGAAAAAAAAAAGAAAGAGTAAATTTCACAAAACTACAGATACTTTGATCAAACTATCACAAAACTACAGATTTAAGAATGTATTTCACAAAACTACAGATTTAGAGTCAAATTTACTACGGAACTACAGATTTAAGGTATTATATCACAAAACTATTGATTTAACAACTATTTTATCACAAAACTACAGATTTTATAACTTTAAATAAATAATAGTGCTACGATCTAGACTGTAGAATATGTAGTTCTTTGATAACTTCATCACTAAATCTGTAGTTTTGTGATATGGTGCATTAAATCTGTAGTTCCGTGAAAAGTTTGACGCTAAATCTGTAGTTTTGTAATACACATTTTTAAATCTGTAGTTTTGTGATAATTTGACCCAAGTAATTGTAGTTTTGTGAAATTTACTCAAAAAGGAAAAAAAAATTGCCGCGCGGGGGAGGAGAGCGTGCCAGCTGGCGCGCGCGCCAGCAACATCGCTTGCTGGCGCGCGAACTAGCCGCCCCCAACTAATCAAGCAAACAATCTTCCGCTCCACTCCTAATATTTCCCCTATGATTATTGGATGCCCCTAATTAACATTGGCATCTCCAAAAGAAAACTTACAGGGAGCCCTTACCCAGTCTCAAGGTAGAACCGCAAGCGGCCGTGGAAGCCCGGGAGGTGGGTGATCACCGACGACGACGCCGAGCACGGCAGCAGCAGCAGCAGCAGCAGGAGGAAGAGGATGCAGGTGCGCAGCGGCTGCAACTGCAAGAGACTGCATTGCCTAGTGCGGTGAGCACCCATTGTGAGAAGCCCCAAGAACATTTGCTTTCTTTATCAATGCTCCAAGAACTCGATGATCTAGTTAATTGTCAATCCTTTTCTGGGAAAGATCGAGTTGTCAGCAAGCCATGAAGGGAGCAATATGCCACATGGAACTAAACTACTAAAGCTCAAGCTTCTAATGAGATCACTAGCTGTGTTACTGTTAATTTATTCAGCACAAATGCAAGGCACGGGCAGATATATATAAAGAACAAAAGCAGCAGATTATTCTAGAACAAAAACCAAGGGCACTGTTTGAACGATCAATAGACACACACTACTAACCGATTCCCCATCACATAGAGGGTGGGAGGCCTGCAGATCGGAGAAGGGGAAGGGTGAGGCGGCGGTGGCAGTGGCAAAGAGGAGAGAGAGGAGCGGCTATTCTGTGGGCAGCGCTTCAGTAAGAATTATGTAGGGTTTTGTTTCCTCCAAGTTTTTCTGCATAATCCCTCTAGATGGTCAGGCCACTTGGGGCTGGAACTGCCCACCCAAGTTTTATGTGTTACTCCCTCCGTTTCACAATGTAAGGAAATGGAAGTACTAGTTACATGCCTGTACGTTGCATCGGAGAAAAAAAAATACTTACATCTATTTAAAATCACGCCAGAAAAAAATGATGTTTCATAATCATTGAATGTAATTTCGTTGCAACGGAAAGGTTTGATATAGTAGAAACAACAATTATGTCCTTTCTTTATAGTTTTGTCATACATTACCAACAAGAAAAACAAAAGTTTATGTAAAAGATAACCCTGTATCTACATTGTAGGTTGCTGCAAAGAAGCTTCTAATTTTTTTTGCGTAACTTTGTTTCTTCTACAAAATGATCTGGTTTGACAGCAGAAAATAGTAGAAAATTTGAAAAGCACTGGATTCCGTGAGAAACTGAACTTCGACCCTATTTATATCTCACCCCAAAATTTTTCACCCGATCACATCGAACGTTTGAACACATGCATAAAGTATTAAATATAGGCTAAAAAATTAATTGCACAGGTTGTGACTAATTTGTGAGACGAATCTTTTAAGCTTAATTGCTCTATGATTTGACAACGTGGTGCTACAGTAAGCATTTGCTAATAACATATTAATTAGGCTTAATAAATTCGTCTTGCGGTTTACTGACGGATTCTGTAATTAGTTTTTTTATTAGTGGTCGAACACCCCATATGACACCCTATATAATATCTGATGTGACACGCCAAAACTTTACACCCCTGGAACACCCCTTTCGATTATGTTGAATAGTGAACCATCACCAATATTCAGATTTTGTAATCCCGTCGCCCATCCTTCCGCAGCCCATATCCTTGCTAATCGCAGAGCTAGCCCACTCCTCTCCCAGACTGCTTGCCTCACCATGTAGGCCCATGCCGCGCACAGACCGCACCACCTACTTCTCGATCGTGGGCTTACCTGAGATGTGTCAGTCTGCTCGTATTTACGACTTATTATTATTTTAGTGATAAACGATATATGTGTTGGCAGTGCAGGGTCTATAGTAATTTTCTTTACGACAAAAAATCACATTACATTGTCTATACCATCTTTGCGCATTTTAATTTTTAAGTAAATTGCACGTTCGGTCTCTAAACTTATCCGTCTATGTCACCTAGATTCTCACACGCTCAAAATGCAGATGTAAGCGCCAAATAGTTACAACCCCTTTGGAACCCTATGTGTGTGACATGGCATCGTCAATAATATTATTCTACACTAACTGACAAGTGGGTCCCACTTACAAAAAATATTTTTCTTTTTTCTTCTTTTCCCTATATTTTTCTTCTCTTTTCGTCCTTTTTCACTACAAGAATCCGCAGTTGGTGACCACCTCACCGAGCTTGAGCTCCTAGCGGCACTAACACCGAGGGCTAAGAGACGGCAGTGAGCACAGCCGCTGGCAAGAATGCGGGTTTAACATTTCGTTTTCTCCATTTTTATCAGGGTGCCTAAATTTCCGTCCGAAATTATTTGAATTTTTGACAAAATTTGATCAAATTTGACGGTAGAGCTAACACACGCCGTGCTCGGAAAATTTCTCCGGATTCTCCGTTTTTCGGTTCCGCTCCCTCGCTCCTTCCCTTTTTCTTGGGCTCCCCTACCTCCCATTTTAAATGTGGTAAAAAGTAAAAATTTGAAACACAAGCCCCACCACGTACCTAGAATAAAAAAAATTACAACATGATTAGTAATTTTTCTATAACTCTAATCCCACACTGTGAGCAAATACTAAGTACTTCATCCGTTTTACAACGTAAGACTTTCTAGTATTGCCTATATTCATTTAAATGTTAATGATTCTAGACATATGCATGTGTTTAGATTCATTAACATATATGTGTATCTGGGCAATTCTAGAAAGTCTTACGTTATGAAACGGAGGGAGTAATTCTCTTACTCTATTCCTTACAACATTTTTTTATTGGTCCCCAGGAGGTAACATATTTACTCCGTTCTGCAACACAGATCTCTCAGCAGTCCCAGAGATAATATATTTACTCTGATGAGTTCTCTAGTCTGTCTTCCTTTCAATGCAGTAATTATTTTACACAAAAAATATATCAAGAGATAAATGCTTTACTGTACATTGGATCACACCACACTGCACGAAATAAAAAAGAAAAAAAATACACGCTTTCATGGCTGAGGAAGCAGGTGTGGCCAGCGCACGGAGGCAGCGAAGAGGGCCCCGATCGACAGCACGAGCAGCGGCCACTGAGTAGGGGTCGCCAGACGACCTCCCACCCATCCTCACCCTCCAGCCGCGCGACGCCGAGAATATGCCACCTCCTCACCTCACCTGACGGCAGCTTGCAACGAAAGGTTCACCGGTCATTGTAAGTCATTAATATGGCACCATTTTATCTAATTTGGCTATATTAACCTCGCTGTATGGCCTTTCTCGAAGTATTCAGCTATCACGAAAGTAACCTTGTGTCAGTTTTCTTAAAAAAAAGGAAGCCATGGTTCCAGGCTTCCAGCTCATTTCTCTGGAGACAACTATACCCCTTATGGGCCTTCGTTATTTAGCTAGTTTGAGGTGGTCCTGTATGATTCTCCCTTCAATTAAAAAAGGGTCGAGTTGCCTTCTAGCGAGCGCTATAACACCACTTGTCATTTTTAGGGATGTGTTTTTTTTTAACAAAGCACTTTTTAGGTGCAATAGGAGGAGCGGCACGGAGAGGAGATCGCTTGGCGCGAGCTCTCTAGCTCCAGTCCACCTCACCGGTCAGTGGCTCTCCTCTTTGGCGTGCACTGCTTGCCGGTCACCGGCGCCAACCGCCATCATCACCAAGATGCATCATCGATCAACGGGCTGTGACGGTGGATGGATACTAGCGGATGCGGAGCCATCGCTTCTTCGTGGAATAAGCGAGACGGCATATTTGCAAACGAAAAATAATTTGTGAATAAAACTTTTATATACGTGTTCTTAGCAATCTAAAAGCAAAGGCTGAAAAATAAACTTCGATGAAAAAATCTCAAAATCAGATCTAAATTTAAGGTTGAAAATTCAAATTTTGGCTGATAAGCATAAGCATAAGCGAAAAAAAAGAGACCCTAGAAGTAGTAGATCCAAGAAAATTGGGGGGGGATGAAGTGGGAGAGAGAAAGCGGTTGGTTGATTACAGTAAAAGTAGCATATACTTTACAAGATGAGGTTGTAAAAGAATTACTACTCGGAACGCAACAATGGAGGAGGACAGGGTGGTGTTAGTTGGTGGGATCGCTGGGTGTAGAAAGAAGCGATTTTCTTTACTAATCCAAGCGCTACGCTTTAGGTAGTAAGTCTATAAGTTTAAACTAATATTGCCAAATTCACAAAAAAATTAAAAATTTCAGAAAAAATAATATCATATCAGGGGGTTCAATAACCGAAATTTTCGAAATTTTAGAATTTCATTCTGGAATTTTGAACCCTAGAGAGGATAGCTACGGTTGAATTGCTTCTCGCCATGGCCTCCATGTCGCTGGCCTGCCGCCACTCTTGTGGTTGTTGCTTATAACCCCTTTGGGACAAAGGGGATCAAGGAAGCTGGAGGTCGACGGATGTGAGTAGGAGAGCATGGATGCTGGCTAAATGAGGAGGAGGAGCTCCTCTGGATGATGCGGTCCTAGAACATGGGTGATGCTTTTATCGAGGTGAGCTTCAAGCTTGCGGCGGGAGATGGGGAAGAAGAAAGGAGGGTCAACGGGGGAGTGGAAGAGAAGGCGTGGTGGCAGTGGAGGGCGGTGGTGCAAAAGTAGAGAAGGAGTGGAGGGTGGGGAGCGGGAATGGCGCGGAGCGGTAGGAAGGAGCATGTTGTGTGGACGTAGGCTCGCTGGTAGGATATAGAGGAGCCAGAGATTGAGCTAGGAGGCATAAGGGACTCGCTAGTCCATCATCCCTCTCGTCGACAAGGGCCTCCATGGGTAAGGGGTGAGGGAGGAAGAGTAGCTTGGCGCCGCCTCGAGGCAAAGATTTAGTCAAAGGTAGAAGAAGAGAAAGCAATATTGGCAACGTCTCGAAGAAAAGAAAGAGGAAAGGGGAGAGAAAAAGGGGAAAAAGTAAGAAGGAAAAAAAAGAAAAAAATGACCTAGTTGCTAGTTAGTGTAGAGTTATTGAAGATGACACATTAACATGAATGGGCATGTCACGTCAACACTACATAGGATTATCAACACAATTTGAGACCAGCATGACACACTTGACAAGTATAGAGACATATAACTACATTTTGAGAGCATCGAGACCAAAATAACACAAGCACTCTACTCTTATTTTTTTATCTATTTGTTGGAGGTAAGCTATGGGCCTTCGACCGACATGCCGAAGCAACATTAGAGCCTAACAAAGTGGTGCAAGGTGAAGACTAGGCGACAAGAAGCAAGGTGGAACAACGGAGCGAAGCACCAAAAGGCAAAGACCTGGTAGCGTGAGGCAAGGCATGGCGAAGCAAGCCGGTGGTGAAGCAAAGCGAAAGGACGACAAAGCACGGCCGGCCTCAGTATACCAAAATAAAGAGAGGACCAACAAGTGGTGTGATTGCAGCCCAGTGAGGCCCATGGACCAGTCAGATGGGTCAAATGAGTCCCAGCCATGAGGACGGTTATGTGAAATCACTAGCCTACTATATCCTAGAGTTGTAAACCTATAAATAGAACCCAATGGATGTGCAATAGGGAACACATTTTTTCGAGAGAAGTTAATATACAACTATTGTGCTTTCCACTTCACTTTAAGTGAAACCTGTCTTTCGGCAGAAGAGAACACTATTTTTGTAAACCTATAAATAGAACCCAATGGATGTGTAGTAGGGATCAAATTTTTTCGAGAGAAATTAATATATAACTATTGTGTTTTCCATTTCACTTTAAGTGAAACCTGCCTTTCGGCAGAAGAGAACACTATTTATATGGGCTCCATTACAAATAGTATTTTTTCGAGAACCATGGCACTTGGACAGCAGACACATGGTTGAGTTAAAACCCTGCAAACATTTCTGACAAATAGGAGCTGGCAACATCATAGAGGCTTATTGGCTAGCCACCGTTTCCCCATGGCGAAAGATTATTTAGGCCTGTTTACTGTAGCGACATGGGAACCACCCTGCACAACCAACCAAATGAATCATCCACAACTCTTCATTTATGTCACTTATGTATCTAAAGGGGTGGACACTATATGCACACAAATAGGATCCATCAACTAGAAAAGATCAATCGAAAGAACATTAAAGGATAAAATCACCTTTACTGTGGCAAAGGTCAAGTTGTTGGCATACGTAATTGTGAATCTGCAAAAAAGAAGGAAAAGAAAAGCAATGCATAATCCTCATTAGATCAGGCAAACATGAAAAATAACATCAACTGAGAGTATGTGAAAAAAGAATTAGATGGCTTAACCCAGCAGCTTGGCCATCCACATGCCATGCTCTCCAGTCATCAACTATGAAGAAGTTAAAGGATCTTATCCATGCCTGAGTGCTCAAAAATGGCACCTTGAGATCATGGTCACCGCTGCACTCACAGATGAACATATCATTATGATTTTAAGATGCAGAATAATGTTCATCATGTATGAATGATGCAGATAACTGAATTTTCTCCTTTGATGCTTTCACCTCATCACAAGTGCTCGGTAACCTCTTGTGGTGAGATTAAAATGGTAATCCAAGGCGTTTGGGATGTCTTTAGCATAGGGAAATACACCTCTATTTCATCTTAACCACTCACCAATGGTTCCCTGTAGCCATATTTGTACAATTAGTGCATCAGTCATACTTACTTAGCGACCTAATTAGTTAACAAAATCATGCTCTTATGTTGGGGATATATCATCTTCTTTACCCGCAACGGTTATGATGTTGCCGATTTGAAAATCATTTTTCTATAAGAAAAGCCCCTATATATGCCCATGCTTGTAAATGCAGAACATATCATATGGTTACCTTCTTGATCTTAAGAGCATCTCTAGTCGTATTGTCATTCATCCAGCAGTATGATAGGTAGTAACCATATGACTGAATTCAAGAAAGAAATGATAAGCAAATTAACATTACAAAAAGAGGAAGGTGAACACTGCAATGTAATGTATCTACACAATCTTACGTCTAATATCAGTTTATCTTGGCTAACCAAGCCATGACCTGCATGAAGGGCCTGATCCACCTACGAACACACGCTCCTACGACAGGGGCAGAGTCTTGAGAGGACATGGTCTACCCTGCACGTCTCTCACACCTTCCTAAAGGGACTACACCATGATTGGAGATGCTTGTGCTTTCTATTTGACAGGCTGAGTCCCGCCAATGTCATATCTGAAGAAGGGAATGGCCTCGTATAATGAACGACGATCTCTCGTACCCTTAGGTTGTGTTCTTAAGTCTAAGTTTCCAACCTCATTCTCTGGTTTATTGCGCGCACACTATTCAAACTACTAAACGGTGCGTGTTTTGCAAAAAAAAATTATATAGAAAAGTTTTTTTAAAAAATCATATTAATCCATTTTTGAAGTTTTTAAGCTAACAATTAATTAATCACGCATTAATCCATTGCTCCGTTTTCCGTGTTAGAGGTGAGCACCTAAGAACACAGCCTTAGTCCTCCACCAAAAATCCTAAACCTATCCTTCGATCCTTAGAGGCACTGGAAGGGACCCAAAGGACCGATCAAGGCCATTGGAGAAGGTGGGTTAAAAAGGACAACGATGCCCATAGCCATCTACAGTGAGACACCGACGCCTTTGGCATCAAGCCAGTCTCCTGCCTCGCCTACACCAACAGCAGAGTAGATGAAAATGATTGTGACCATATGACATTCATGGCTTTATCTAACCGTGATCAGTTCTATCACTTTATTCCACAATAGAATTGGTGATCTTGTTTAGGCTAGGTGTTAGCGAGATCAAAACTCAAATCTATTTCTTAGAAAATTCTACATTCTTCAATCAAATTAACACAATGGACCCATGGATAGTAAGGACTTACAGCGCAATCCATAGAAGGTCGAATAGGTGGCTTGCTTAGCCGGCTGTATTCTTCCAGCAGTGCCCTGCTTGCTGAAACATCTATTGTAGGTTTTGGTGCAGCTTTAACACATTTATCCTCCAAGATATTTCCATCCGAAACTTCAGACATGAGCTACACATGGGATTTGTGCAGTAAGATAATACTAGATGAATATTAGTAAACATACAAATTAGTACAGTGCAATAATCTTACTTTATTAATAGTATATACGACGTTAGCACACAATTGGTTTGTTGGGTTCACAAAATCTCCTTTGCAATGCGTTACCGCAGCCTTCAAAAGAGGAATAGGAAAATGTTATGCAATAGTATCACCCCACTCAAATTGAGTGTATGGATTTGATGTTACCTCATATAATTGATCAGATATAATTCCAACGCCATGAGAATAGGGAACATGGAAATTTTTATCGAATTTCGAACCTGTTATGGGGTTGCCAACTATATATCCCTGTAACTGATTTTGTATTTACAAGAAATAGTAAGAGACATGATGCTGCATTATCGAAATTTTTATAAACTGTTTGAGAGATAAAAATGGCATGCCTTAAGATCAATCAATGGTCGTTGCCTTTGTTCTTCAATTGCTGGTGAGTAGGAAGAAATTAAGACAAGGTAAGAGACTAGCTAAAAAGAGTACCACAATCATTATTGGCATGTGAACAAGTTGAACAGTTAAAAATATGGTGGGATTTGTCACTCCCGTGCGGCATTATTTGACTTCTGAGATTAGTTTGAAACTTTTAACAATTTTGTACATATTTGAAAGAACACAACAAAGGTTCTAAAACATATGGTTATAACTGCAAATTAGATTATCATCTAATTCGTTTTATAGTATGTTAAGTGTATCGTTGATTACCTTCTGAAATGTATTGCACGATAACTGGAACCACCTTTCCAGCATATGAGGCTCCACCAACATAGAAATTATGTGAGCGGTAGCGTGGGTGATCATTGAGCCACTACATTAATATGCACAAGATGATAATTAAGTAATAAACTAGAATACAAATACATAGTGTTCTTTCATTCTTAATATACTAGGATATGAAATTTGCTTCTAGTCACCTCCTTCATAAATGTGACCACTTGTAAAGAAGATGATATATCCCCAACATCGTAACCATTGGAATCACGTGCGTATGAGAAACCAGAACCGACAGGACTATCCAAAAAAATTATGCTTGCCATCTGATAATTTGAACCACAAATTACTAAGTAAAAGCGAGGTAGAAAGGAAGTTCACGAGGGTTTGGGAGAATGATATATATCACCTGTGTCCATGAATACTGATTATAAACCAATCTTGGCAAACTACCATTATAAGCTTCCAACACAAAATTCAAAGGACCTGTATAAAATCATCACCAATGGAAATTAAGTATTTATATGCGTAATTCTAACACGAACGAATAATTAATATTCACCACAATAGTCCCTTTTTACAAGAACAATACAGTTAGGTTGGGTGATTATTTTCTTAAATAAAAAGGTTTGGATAATCATTGGACTACTAACCTACTTCGTAGGCTAAGCCAGAGAAGGCCGAACAACGGGGCCCACCCACCAGCCACAATACCAAAGGGTCCGTGTCAGGGTTCGTCTCTGATTCAACGAAGTAGTAGAAGAGCTCAGTGCCAGTCTTCTCCTCGATACCAATATATCTACAGTGTACACATGTACGTGCATATGTACCCAATTCTTACATGATGAATTTATGCTCGTATAGTATGTAACAGTTGAAGAAAAATGGGACTCTCGGGCCCTGTTTGGTGGAGCTTGTCCCAGCTGCAGCTTTTCCCAAAAGCTGCTTCTGCTAGAAGCTGCCCCAAACAGTCCACAGCTTCTGAGAATCTGTGGTTACAGATTCTGAAAAATGAACTAAGAAGCCAGAAGCTGGAGAAGCTGGGTTTCATAGCTTTTCCAGATTCTCAGAAGCTAGCTGCTAAACGGCTGCTTCTCAAAATCTAAAGCTCCCCAAACAGGCCCTCGGTGAGTGGTGCTTACCCAGTCTCGAGGTAGAACGGCAGGCGACCATGGAATCCCGGGAGGTGAGTGATCACCGACGACGACGACGACGACGACGACGCCGAGCACGGGAGCGCCGGTGGCGACAGAAGCAGAAGCAGCAGTAGGAGAAGGCAGGTGATGAGGCGTGGCGGCTGCACGAGGCTGCATTGCCCTGCGCTGCGGTGACGATGCGAACCCATCGTGAGGAGATCCAGGAGGAGCGTGGCTGCAGGCTTCCTCTTGTTGCTCTGCTAGTGCTCTTGTAGCTTCGACAAGCCAATGAATGCATGGCAAGAGGCCATGGGCAAAAAGTAATGATGCTAAAACACTCCCCTTTTTTTTAATATACGATGGTGTTGAGTTTTAGCGTGAGGTTTAACTATTCGTTTTATTAGAAGAAATTATAAATTCTATTTATTTTGTTATGACATTATTAAAGAAACTCTAACCATGAGTTATATTTTTACATATTTACGCTAAACTTTTGAATAAGATGAATGGTCAAATATTATGTGAAAAATCAACATCGGGACAAACTAAAAGTTTGATAAACATTAGATTCGCACTTTGAACTTTTTTAAAAAATTCTTCAAACTCAATTCGAAATTTTGAAAGCAAATTCAATTTCCCCTTTTGAATTACTTATTTTTAATCAGTCTTTCCTTGTGCAAAATTCGTTCACATTCTCATATATCAAAATTCACCCCAAGATGCAAAAATCTCGATCCCGTGTTGTGACCGATTATGAATGAAAAAAATGAAAATGCTAAGATTTTCCTATAGGTAGGTAGTGAAGAAATTCCTTAATTATTTTTTATAATTTGAAATAACTCCAACCATTATTAATAATATTTTTCAATTAAAATTTTGATTATACAATTAATTCTACTATGTTGATCCCCTTGTTGATCAAACACAAATATACATGTAAGGGTCTCATCCTGGCTCCTGGACGAGTCCTGGCATAGAATCGAATATACATCACTGTGTACAAATTAGAGGTCCTGTAATTAATCCCTTGACTGCATGCATTTGCTGGTGGTCTAGTATAGTACTGCGTCTTCGTGGGCTGCGGTGGCAAACACAAAAATCAATTGACTCGGAGACGGACGTATGCTGATTGCTGGACGATGGATGAATGGACCAAACGATGGTCGACGACATATATGACTCGAGCAAACAAATGTAAAAACCAACTCAAACGTATAAGGTAGCAAAGTACCGGTAGAAACACCTTTATTTTTTATAATAGTAGAAAATTGAAGAGATGGAGATAGAGATAGACAAGAGTAAATTAGACTTCTTTGAATCTAATCAAACACATATATGTAAATTTGCCATGTACTAAATCCGAATCAATCATTATTGAATCATTTCGAATTGTAAGCAAACATATTTATACGTAAATTAGGCATGTACTGAATCCATATCTCTTTATAACCAAAGGAGCAAGCATGCCAACAAATATACGTACATATCTTTTTACTACTAGAAAAAGTATTTTCACAGACGTGGGTTTTTTCCCTAGGCGGATATGGCTATGCCAACAAATATACGTACATATCTTTTTACTACTAGAAAAAGTATTTTCACAGACTTGGGTTTTTTCCCTAGGCGGATAAGACCATTCGAGCCAAATGTCCGCTTATGAAAATGTAAACCGGTGTGGAGCTCGCCGTCCGTCTGCGAAAATCAATTTTTCCAAGAAGACCATTTAAGAGGTCCGCGTGCGAAAATACCTTTATTAAAAAAATATGATTTTTGCAGGCAGAACCTTAACTGGTTCGCCTAAAAAAATCATGCCACCAGAAAAAAAAATCTAAGTCTCACCCTTATCTTCTCCTCCACCATCCTTATCCTCTCCACCACTCATTTCCCTCCCCCTCTCTCTCTCTCCACGAGCAGCAAGCCGCGCGCGGGCGCCCCTCCCACGGCTCCCTCCTCGCCGTCTATGCCCCCGGTTCCCCTCCTCGCTACCTCCACCGCGCCTCCTTGCCACCTCCGCCGCCGGCCACGACGCACGACGACGACGGCGCCTACGCCTGTGTCCTGCCGCCGCGACGACGACGATGACGCCGCCTGTGGATCCGCCGCTGGCTCACCCCGGGCATGCAGATCCGCCGCTGGCCGGTCTCGGGGAGGGGAGGGGAGGCAACGTCGACGAGGAGGAGAGGCGGCGGCTCGGCTCCTTCCTCTCCTGGCGACGTGTGTCGACGACGACAACGACGACGCTGCCTGTGGGAGGGGTGGACGGAGGAGGAGATACGATGGCTCGGCTCTCCCCTCTCCCGGCGACGCGCGGCGACGACGACACTGCCGCGGCCTATGGGGAAGTCGAAGGACGAAGGACGAGAGGCGGCGATGTGGGGATGACGATTGCCTCGACGATGACGGCGCCGAGATGTGACGACGACGACGATGCCGGCTATGGGGGAGGTTGGCGGACGGAGGAGGAGAGCCGTCGGCCGGAGGGGGAGGCCGGCGACAGCGCCATTTTTTTTATTCGCTGTAATGTTTTTCGCAGGCGGGTGAATCTACCGCTAGGACACATACGAAAATCATCTATTTCCGTAGGCCTTTGCCTAGAGGCGGTCTTTTCCCCGCCTAGAAAAATTATTTTAGGCCGCCTGCAAAAAAAAACCTTACTTCTAGTAGTGATGGTTGTATAGTCTAATCTGCAATTAATGCGTGATCCAATTAGATTGTAGATAATTACATGGGATGAAACAGACCAGACTCACGTTCTCATAGACCGACAACATATTTATTCGAATAGAGTGACGTATCAAAATTTTGGGTAGAAACATCTTCAATTTTCAATTTTCATAATAGTAGAGCTAGAGAATGGATAAAATTAGCTTCCTGTGAATCTAATCAAACAAATATAAAAAAATTAGCCATGTACTAAATCTGAGTCTCAATTATTGAATCATTTGGCCGGAATCCTAATCAAACAGACATACACAAATTAGCCATGTACTGAATCCGTATCTCTTTATAACCAAAGAAGCAAGCATGCCAGAAAATATACGTCCCTATCTCTGTATGGCTGTATAGCCTAATCTGCAACTAATACGATTAGATTGGACATAATTATATGGATGAAATGGACCAAACTCCCACATATTCGTACAACGACATCGCATCAGAATAAGGTGACAAACAAAAATTATGAGCTGCAGAAACATTTTCATTTTTTATAATACTAAAGAAAAGATATAATGGAGGTAGTATATAGATCAAGCCTTCCACCGAGGTCACTCTCGTTGTTGATTTTCCTAAACATAGTATATATGTTGCTCTTTTCCTAAACAAAGATTTAATTATCTGTTAATTCACCTGTTAAAATCAATATATCGTCGTGGCTTGGTAGGTAGGAGGGACCAAAATCATAATAAGTTGTTGCTTAGTTGGGGGTCAAAGGATTAATTGGTAGGCAGGAGGGACCAAAATCATAAGTACTCCTTCATTGTTACAATTGGCTAGTCAAAGGAGTAAAGTGACTACAGCCAATTGGCCAATTTGATCTGTCACCTTCTGGTCTGTTTATTTTCGTTCTCAAAGGATTGAATGCCATTTCTCAAAAAAAAAAGAAAAAAGAAAAAAAGAGAGAGGATTGAATGCCGTACATATGCATTGAAGTTTACGATCGACTGGATCCGAAGGGTTGCTCAAGAATGTATTTTGTCTAGATGATACCAGGGTATATGCGAGATTGAGATAAAAGAGATGGAGACAATGATTTTTATACAGGTTTGGACCCTAATAGCCATACTCCTGTTAGCCGAAACTGGTGTTGCTCTTTATTCATCTGAATCATATAAGTATAATATTTGGGATAACTTATCTAGCCGTTGTTGACATGGTGGCACGAAAACAAACATGTAGTCGACGACGGGGTAGTATTCCTCGTCGAATATGAACTCGTCGAGATCACTCTTGTCGGCCTCTGCAGGCACCGGATTGGGTTTGTCTAGGCTATCTCTGATGTCGATGTCTGACGGCATGTGTTGGCTTGTCTTGGCTTGTGTGTATCTCCCACTTCTCCTCCTAGGGGGTCTTGTATTTATATCCATAGATATCTCCTTGTCCAAGTAAAACTAGGGAGACAAGTATGAATACGATCCGAGTAGTCATTGTCGTTTCCATATAGAACTCTACTCGTCATTCCTTATCCGGAACTCCTTCTATATATAAGATATGATTCCGTATAAAATTTGGTATATAGTGAGCCCGGCCGAGCTTAATCGATTACTATTGGGTATGTGATATCTATAACCATGACACGTTCGATGTCAATCAACTAATTACCATATTTTCACAGTGTTCTACAACAAATACCGTGAACTTTGAGTATCTTGTAGAAATTTTTTCCCTCCTTATAATATTGGTACTTTGCATGTTTTGATCTTCAAAATATATGTATATAATAACTACATATGTCGTAAAATATAACAATCTAATATCGGGTAAGATATGTCCTATTACTATAAATCTGGATGGGGTGTCCGTCCAAATTTATAATGCTAGGATGTGTCTGAAAGCATCTAGACCCCATGTGGTATTTTGGTGGTTGATGATAATATAATCATCGGAACTAATCATGGTTGTTAAGTGTTGAACATGGATTATGATGGCAACAGGGTGCGCGATCTTCCGTCAGGTGAAGATAACTATTAATTTGACATAAATTTGACATACATGATCCAGCTTTCGATCAACACGATCTAAACCATGCAATTGCAGCACCACATCTCCTCTGGTTATCAACCATGCCGACACCCAATTGACCTCGTCAAGAAGGCTAATCCCTATATGTGAATCAAAGAACTTGAAGTTGGGGTTCCACTAACTGATAAACGGTAAAACTACAATGGCAGAAATAATCTAAGCAAAACATATGTGAACATATGGAAGCAAAGGAATGATCTTATCTTTGATCATAAACCTCCCTCCTTGTCTTCCTGGAGGCAACTCCTTAAGTGAGATCTCGTTCTTCTTTTGTTTAGACTTAATGAGATTGACAAAAATGTAGTGAAAAATTGGATTTACTCTTTGTAATTCTTTGTATTTTTTCTTCCATTTAATAAAAATTAACAGCGGGGGCCTCCCCTTGCTGTGTTTTTGTCAAAAAAAAAAGAAGCAAAACCCAACACTAACTCAACGATAGATACTGAGTATATAGGTTCTAGGGTCAACCAAGGACCCCTGGACGCGTCCTTATTAGGCTCCGACATGATACATGGCCCAACGCGCCAAAGACGATGATGCAATACCCGGACAGATTCTAGATGCCCTCCTTTTAACGATTCTTGTTGACTTAGAAGGAATTTTAATGTGGGAATAGATCGATTGAAAATGTGATCTCATTAGCTTTCCATACATATGAAAAACATAAGAAAACGGAGTCCGAATGTAACCCGTGCAACGTTTTTAGTGCGGACTGCTTCTTGAGTCTAATGTGGACTCGAACTTGATAGGAGTTTGGCCTCCATCTTAACTTGAACGTCCATGATGACTTTGTTCATCTCCTAGCCTCTCCCAAATGCTCTCTGGTCTTCTCCATAGTTTCTTACCATAATTAAATCATTATGTATCAATCTATCCTCAAAATCAAATAAAGAAGTACTTAGAAACAAGCTCACCTGTAAATTCAATTATCGGGTGCGAGTTTTGGTTATTAGACCTTACATAGAAACTTGAGGAGTACTGTGTGTATCTAAATAAGTGATGAGGACCTCATTAGATTAGGGTTTCGATAATGAACGTGTGAACATGCTGCTCAAACCCTCAACAGAACGGTTGCAACAAGATGAATTTACTACCTCTCTTGATCATCTATAATGCATTCGAGGAGTTGGGGTAAATGTGGAAGTGACAAAAAAAAGACTATACATGTTAGTAGCTTGGAGTTTCAAAAGTGCTAAAGTCTAGGTGTGGTGCACATTAGATTAGTAGTTGTTGAATAGTCCCACGTTGATTGTGGAAGGGCAAAGAACCTAATAAACTAAGTGAAACCCCGTGCGTCATTGTGGGAGTTCAGTATGATAACAATAAGTAAAAGTAGTGTATAAAATAGCTAGATAACATAAGCTTAGTTGATGTGGTTTATGATAATTTAAATTTAAATAGTATATAGAATGATAATTTAAATGTAAAAGTAAGGTGATGTGGCTTTATGATAGAAGAAAAGGAGAAAGATAGTTTGGACCACATATTAAATAAGAACTAAAAACAATTGAGGTGATATGCCTTAATAGAGAAGAAAATGATGGAGATAATTTGGACCATAGATTAATCATTTAAATACTAAAAACAATTGATGTGATATGGCTTAATGAGATGAGAGAAATAACATTAATTAAGTGAGGATGAACTATTAGGTATGTAGGATTTTATAACAATAATGAAGAGATATATTGAAATATTATGTGAATTACGTGGGATGACGATTTAACATGCTTGTATTTTAAAAGATCTATAATTTAATAAATTATAAAATTATAGATAATATAGCATATTTGCATGATGTATAAATGTAATAATCGTTAATGGATAACGATGTGACATCTTGTTACTGGATGATGATGATGTGACATCTTTTAATAATTGTTAGTGGATAATGATGAGACATCTTGTTACTGGATGATGATATAGCATTTTTGCATATTAAGCTTTAGAATTTTGTGGGTTGTAACTTTATATTAAGATAGGATAAGTAAGGGAGCCTGCACCTTGTTAGCTAGCTTTTGGGTGGACCTTTACGAGATCCTATAGTAGCCTCTCAAATCGAGTGCTAAATTAATTAGTGGGTAAAAACCTCGTGTGGTCAAAGTGGTTTGACCGGGTGCATTTGCATTTTGCATCCCAAAGTTGTAGTAGCAACCCGAGCTAGTACTTCTACAACTGATCAGGATTTTTTTTCTCTCCATTTTTCAATTTGGTCAGTACTGGACCCTCTATTTGGCGGAGTATTTATCTTGTCTTCTATTCGTTGTTGGAAAACATGGGAGATAAAGTAGTTCTTCATACAAACAATACCAGTTGCACGAGTATACAGGTTGGGTCAAAGCAGGTGAACATCACAGAGGCTTATTATCTAGCCAACGTTTGCCCATGGCAAAACCTTGTTTAGGATTGGTTTCTATAGAGGTATGGCCACCACCCTGCACATCATAAACCTTGTTTAGGATTCTTCAGAAAGCCAGTATGTGAATTGTGAAGGGCTGGACACTATAGACACAAATACCAGTTTAACGAGAAAAGGTCAAGAAAGAAAAAGTAACACCTTTACTGTGGCAAAGGTCAAGTTGTTGGCGTACAAAATTGTAAATCTGCATAAAAGAAGATGACACATAATATTAATATCAGATCAGGCAAACATGGAAAAAACATCAATTGAAATGCACAATTTGTGAGCAGAAACAGATGGCTTAACCCTGCAGCCTGGCCATCCACATGCCATGCTCTCCACTCATCAACTATGGAGAAGTTCAAGGATCTTATCCATGCCTGGGTGCTCAGAAATGGCAATATGAGATCATGGTCACCACTGCATTCATAAATGTCATAATAATTTTTAAGACATGGAATATGGATTTAACCTGCAGGAAGCAGATAAATGAATTTTCCTCTGATGATTTCACCTGAACACAAGTGCCCGGTAACCTCCTGTGGTGAGGTCAAAATGATACTTGATGCTGCTTGCGACATCTTGAACATAGGGTAGCCCTGTCTTGCATCTTATCCATTCGCCGACTGTTCCCTATTGTCATATTTGCGCCATTATTGGATTTGTTATATTTAGCCAACTTTTTTAACAAAATAATGGAAGCTTTTCCTAGCTAGCAAATCATACTTTGTATAGATGGCATCTTATACTCTTCTCATTTAAGCTTCGCAAGAAATCTTAGAAGGGAAACACATTGTAGGGTCCTAATTATACAGGCAAAAGATAACGAATGGTTACCTTCTTGATCTTAAGAGCTTCTCTAGTCAAATTGTTGTTCATCCACAAGAATGATAGATAGTAACGGTATGACTGCATTTAAGAAGAAAAACAGGAGGCAGATTAACATTAGGAAAAAACAGAGTTGTGATATAATGTATCATTACAATCTCTTTATACTGCTTCTTTAAAAAAAAACTACAATCTTCAATCAAACTAACACAATGGGATCGATGAATGATAATAACTTACAAAACAATTGATAGTAGGTCGAACAGTCGGCTCACTTAGCCGAATGTAATCTTCTTGCAGACTCCTACTTCTTGAAACTTCATTTATGGGTTTTGGTGTAGCACGAACACATTTATCATCCAAGATATTTCCATAATCAACTTCAGACATGAGCTGAAACAAAAGGGATATGCATAAGTTTGATAGTAGTTGGATATTAGTAAACTTCTAAACTAGGTTAGACAAGAATCTTACATTATCAATAGCATTTAGGGCCTTAGCACATAATTCATTTGTTGTGGTCACATAATCTCCATTGCAGTTTGCTACTGCAGCCTACAAACAGGGAAAGGAAAATGCTACAGAGTTGTATCACCATATTCTAATTGTATGGATGTGAAATTACCTCGTATAATTGATCAGATATGATCCCAACACCATGAGAATATGGAATTTTGAAATTATCATCAATCTTCGAGCCTGTAATGGGGTTGCCAACTATATACCCCTGTAACTGATTTCATATATAAGCACCAAAAAGAATATAAGAAACATGATGCCACATTATTAACTATGCAAAGGTCACTAGTTGTTTGAAGGATACAGAATGCCATGCCTTAAGATTAACCAATGGCTGCTGCCTTTGTTCAATTCCTGGAGAGCAGGCATAAACCAAACGAGGTAAGGAATTAGTTATTTGATTGGAGGTAATGATTAAACATAAGTAGATGCAAACATTAATTGGTTTGTGGCGAATTGAAGTTCAAAGGTTGAAAACATAGTGAGCTTATCACTCTGAAGAAATTAACAAACAAATGCACCATTTGTCTTTTGAGATTAGTTTGAACTTTCCGCTGAACACTTTTTGCATCTTTTATATAACACAACAGAGGTTCTAAAACATATACATTAGATGATTTCCGAAATTATCTCCTCATAGTATATCTTATATTTTTGAGAATTGGCTTGTGGGAGTTAATAAAAAATCTTTTCAGGGCAACATACTGGCTCTGATCTTGGGCTCAGCTACATGAAGAAATCAAGTCAGTGAAAGGTGCATGTCGTAATCTTGAGTCATTGGTTATGCAGCTGTTCGCCAACTTTCGATGGAGATTCACAAATAAAATTCAATAATTTTTATGGTCTTTTTATGCTGTGTGAGTTTTTATTAGTTTGTCTGTGTTTTTGTTTATTCAGGTGTGAATTTTTGTTGAGTTGGTGTAATAATTGGCTGTAACTCTTTGAGCAAAGGTCGGGATTATATTCCATTATCTAAAAAAATATTCTCATCTAATTCATCACAGAATATGTGAAATATATAGTTGATTACCTTCTGAAATGAACTTCATGATAATTGGAATCACCTTTCCAGCGTATGAGCTTCCTCCAACATAGAAATGATTTGAGAGATAGCGTGGGTGATCATTGAACCACTACACTAGTACGTACAAGATGGTAAGTAATAAATATAGAAGTTGTTCTTCCATTTTTACTGTAGTAGAAAACCAGATGTGCTTTCAGGTCACCTTCTTCAGAAATGTTACGACTTGCAAAGACGATGATATGTCCCCGACATTATAACCTTTAGGATCATGAGCGTATGAGAAACCAGAACCAACAGGAGTGTCCAAGAAGAGGATGCTTGCCATCTGATCATAGTAACAGAACCACAAATAAGTAAAATGAGGTAGAGAGAAATATCCTGTGTGTTTTAGAGGAGCATATCACCTGTGTCCATGAATACTGATTATAAACCAATCGTGGCAAACTACCATTATAAGGCTCCAACACGTATTTCATAGGTCCTGTACATAATCGTCACCTATGGATATCAGAAGGTTAACACGTGCAATGTAAAATATGTGTGAGTGTAGAGAGCACAGAGCGTAGGAGCAGACCCAATTGCTCCCCAGTAGTCCAAAACCATGGCAAACTGTACAATCTTGGCCACCATATAATCATGCACGAATATGTGTTAGGTGGGTGTAATTTAGTATATCAACCTGTAAAGTGCTCGTTTCCAGTTCGTGCAAACCATGACTAAAATGGCTTATCAATGTTAATTTTACGAAGTTGATGTTTATCAGGACGTAACGTGTATATGTGTAATGAGTATGCATAAGACATATTATATTTATAATTTTGGTTTCTATTTTATCCTTTATTATGGTAATGATGAATTTCATATATTTCTAACCCTTATATCGATCATTGTTTGGTTTTTCATATCTTTTTACGATCACTATATCATATTCTATCTTTTTATGAAGAGGTGTATATCTAACAACAATCTTCTCATGTGTGTGTGTGTTTACCTAGTATGCTAATCAACCTCTAAATCAACAAGATTAGCTACGTAGCGTATTTTTGGTTTTTCCCCACACACACACCAGACAAATTCATGTACCAAAACAAGCATTTTACAAATTCGTGCACTAGATTGCACCCACATGACAAGTTTGTTCACCGATGATGCAATTTACTCAAAAATATGTATAATCATGCATAATTTATTAACTCAAAAAAATCATGCATAATTTATATTCGATTGAGCCAACATGAGAATAGTATTAACCTTAGAGCAATGAAAGCATAGTCTCTGTCAGTTCTACAAATCTTTTTCTCATCATCAAATCCCAATCACTACTACTAACCTACTTCAAAGACGACACCGCTGAATCCGGAGCAGCCAGGCCCGCCTGTCAACCAGAGGATCACAGGGCCTGTACTTGGGCTCCTCTCCGATTCAACGAAGTAGTAGAAGAGCTCAGTGCCCGTCTCCTCGTCCACACCAACATACCTGCAAGGTTATTTCTCAATTAAGGTCCAGCTAGAAAAAATATCCGTGTATTGTAACGGGTAAATACGTTTTTTTAATATTAGGAACCGAGAAATAACTTAAAATATTAGAATTGCTATACACTATAATAAGGTAATTACTTAATCCAAACCATTTCGAATCGCTAATTAGCAATCAGTCGTTAGCAGGGTGGCACCGGCTATCAGTTTCGGACCCACCAAATATATATTTTTTCTACCCTATACATGCAAACTTTATAACTTTACATGTATACCTATAAACTCTATACCTATATAGTTTATGTATAAATTCTAAGTATTTTCTCCGTTTCACAATGTAAGTCATTCTAGCATTTTTAGCATTTTTCACTTTTATATTGATGTTAATAAATCTAGACATATATCAATATGAATGTGAAAAATACTAGAATAACTTACATTGTGAAACAGAGGAAGTATATGCGTATATGGTTATATATACATACTCCCTCCGTTCCAGAATATAGCAACCTAAAACCGGATGGGACGTATCTTAGTACTACGAATCTGAACAGGGACATGTCTAGATTCGTAGTACTAGGATACATCCCGTTCGGTTCTAGGTTGCTATATTTTGGACGGAGAGAGTACATACAGTAGTATATGGGGGAGGACGAAAGGGTGGAAACTGACCACGCGCCTGCAGCCGCGGATCAGCGTCTCCCTAAGGCTGTGTTTGGATAGCAGGGATGGGAACCCAATCTCCCCGCACGGAAAACGGAGCGGTCCATTAGCGCGTGATTAATTAAGAATCGGCTAATTTATTTTTAAAAAATGGATTAATTTGAATTTTTTAAGCAACTTTTGTATAGAAACTTTTTAAAAAAAATACACCGTTTAGCAGTTTGAAAAGCGTGCGCGCGGAAAACGAGGGAGAGGGGTTGGGAACTTGGAGTTCCAAACACAGCCTAAGCCATGTACACCCTCAGTCCCACTGTCCCAGATTCACTGACAAAATAAATTTATTTTTCAACAGAGAATAGTGTAAATACGTAGTGGCATCCCATACCATTCTCTCTGCAGAAAGTCAGAAACCAACCAAATCAAGCAAAACGAGTCGTCTGCTCTACTCCTAATTCCCCTGGGATTCGATTCCCTTTTGCGTTTGAGTTTCCAATTTCCCTTCGATTAAAAGTCATATGTAACAGCTGGAGAAAAGAAAACATACAGGGAGCCCCTTACCCGGTCTCAAGGTGGAACGGCAAGCGGCCGTGGAAGCCCGGGAGGTGGGTGATCACCGACGACGACGCCGAGCACGGCAGCAGCAGCGGTAGCAGGAGGAAGAGGACGCAGGTGGCGAGGCGCGGTGGTTGCAGGAGCATGCATCGCCCCACGCGGTGAGCAGCCATTGTGAGAAGCTCCAAGACCATTGCTTTGCTTCCTTTTTCAGTGCTCTGGCAGCTTGAAGATCTGAGTTTTTTTTGTCAACAGTTTTTTTTTTTGTGGAACTAAGTAAAGCTCAAGCTTATAATCAATGAGGAAATGAGGTCAGTAGTTGTGTTAATTTATTCAGCACACAACTCACGCGCAGATATATAAGAGAAAACAATATAATATTCTTAAAAAAATAAAACCAAGGGTACTGTTTGATCTGATATAGACACACTAGCTACTAACCGATTCCTCACCACACATTATGCACATTAATGTGTGTTCGCGATCAGTGATGGAGCACATCGAAAAATTTAGATGGATCGAACACGCGACATATGTGATTTGCATGTATGAGATGGTACCTCTCGTAAGAAGATTAAAAATAACAGGTAAACAACAGTGAACGCAAGAAGTTTGTGCAGTACTGCTAGGAGCAGAAGTGCAGAACGCAAGCAACGATGGTGAGCCCATCCTCACGATGGTACGTAGAGTTCACCTGGTAGCTGGTACTGGTAGAAGCTCGAGTTTGAAGCTCGGCTGCATACAGGCTATACCGCTCATGGTTTGTTCACGGGGTCAGCAACAACTCATTTGTTCGCTGGCGGAGGAACGGGCGGGCGGGGCCGGGGGTACGGCAGGTGGGTCACCCTGCCGTATGGGGCTCTCTGCCTCTGTATACCATAACCAAATGGTTGTTATGGGTTTATAATGGGCTATATATATCCCAAAAATCCTAATGGACGATCGCTCGCTTGGATAAAGTCGACGCGGTCGTTTCCGGAAAATGCTAGTCCGTGCGGTGCTCGCGTGTCTGACAGGTTACACGATTGGTTCCGACAAGTTGCACGATTGGTTCCCTTTGCATTTTTGGCACTGTTTTTTTTCCATCTCGTGCTTTTCATTTTTAAGTATGTTTACATACCTAAAGTTTTTACTATTAAAGTTTAAACTCATAAAGTTTGTACACACCTAAGCTTTATGCAATAAAAGTTTATATTACCGATGGATTTGAATTTAAATATATTTTTTACAAAACATTTTCTACACCTATGTACAAAGTTAGCAATGTATATGAATAGTTTTTAGTGCAATATATTTTTTATTGTCTTTCGTTTTTCCGAACTTATTTTTTAAATTGGTTTTAGACTCATCGAACATGCACGTGTGTAGGCAAGCCGCGAGCTAGGCTCAGGGAAAAACGTGTCGAGTGTCGCCGATCGTGTGCCGCGTCCGTCAACGACTAATCGCGTATTAGCCGGACCCTCTATCTCCTGTTATAGAAACCTATAATGAAAAACTAACGTGGCGACATACTGTCGTCTCGTTGGAGAAGATGGGGACGGTGACCCCGGTCATAAGAGGAGAAGGTGGGTCGAGGTGCCCAATGGAAAGACGGGTGGTGGCGTAAGGCGGTGGAGGAGGAAGTGGAGGGTGGGGAGTGGATGACAGATTGAGATCGTAATGTGTAATGATTTTTTTCCATCTTGCACCTGTTGACGAAAAAATCGAACACACCGGCCTGGGAGATCTGCTTAGCTCCTGTGCAGGTCCAAAGATTAATGAGATGCGGACGTGCCAGTCAGTTTGATCCTGCAACTGACAAGATATGCAAACAGCAGATAAAACAACCGATCGGCTGACAAGCCGATGTAATGATTTCAGCCGATGCCGATACCAGCCGATAGCGATAGGGTTTAAGCAATCGGCTATATGTTCAATGTAGATGATGATATAAAGGCAATCGGCTGATGTAATATAATCGAGTATAAACCAATCGGCTAGAAACAATATATAATAAGCACTGATCCGAAGATTAAATCATACATCGGCTGGAGGTCCGATGTCATAAAATCCACAAGATTATATTAAACAATTAAATCTTATTGCGATCGGCTAAATCTAATATGTATGCAATCCTTGTAAGCCGATGCAATGTCCAGATAACTCATCGGCTGAAACTCCAATGAAACCCTTATTGGCAATCAAGAAGCAGGCTAGAGATTATGGTTCTAAGCATGACTTAGTATATCAAACTTAACTGATGCAGCACTAAGTATGAAAAACAAAATATCTAGACAATCAAGCCGTTGACTGATTTTCAGGGTGGTAGATGTCTAGGCTAATCTAATCTAGTAAGGCGATTTAGTCGATACTGGCAGAAACCCTAAAGCGAGAGACAGCCGATAGAGCTAAATTGAGATGCTAGGACTAGATTAACATAGACATATGATAAATAGCCAGGCAAATATATTATCCAAACCAGAGTAATCCAAGAGGTCGAATGTCCTGATGCAGCCTTGAACGACGCCGACGTAGACGATACAATTGCCTGGACCGGCAGAACATTGGACTTATCCCTTCACTGGAGATCGAAGACAATGCAGCCCCGCGTCGGGTGCCAAGTTCCGTCAGAACGTAAAAACAAAAGTAGAAGTAAAAAGGGTGGCGATGCGCCGAATTGTATTGATCGTAGCGATAGATTACATAGACCCCGGGTGTACATATTTATATCCATAGGTTGATACAAGTCCTTGTCGGACAAGAAAGAAACTTTTCTAAAGATAAAAGGAAAAGATAAAGTCCTTATAGGACACTAAACACACTTTCCTAAAGATAAAAGGAAACTAACAAATTATTCTTAATTAATAGATAACTTGCCATGCCGCATTCTCTTTGAACTCGGTCTCTTCTGGATAAGCTTTCTTTAATAGATCAATTTTCTTAACCGAATATAGCAAGAATCCGACAACTAACTTGACAACTCTCATCGGCTAATCTCAGTACTTCAAAGCCGATGCTGACTCTAACCCGATGATTACTCCGGATTTACCAAATTTTTGTTAACAGCACCCTGTGTTAATTAGAATTATGCACTAACAATTAAAGCAGGACTGGCTCAAAGGCCTAAGCCGGTTGTGTGACTGCCGGTCAGGGGCCCATCACTAACCAATCCAACCAGCAGGACGTCATTGTGTACTATCATGTCCGACTCCCACGCGGCTGTTTAAGGTGAGGTCTTATGATCTTCTCATTTTTACATCTATTTAGACAAAAAAAATATATGTTAGTGTGTATGTGTGTGTATGATTATTAAATTCCACCATTAGAACTTAGCATTCACTATAGCGCCTGCTATATGTGATTTGTTACGTAGACACACCAATCCTCTACTGACCCACTATTTGCTTTTATTACTTGATTAAAGGTTTTCACCAAGCCCATTAAGGCTTTTTAAGCCCGTTAACAATTCTTTACGGGCCTGCTAAAGACTATTTTTGCATTCTGCTAAAGATTTTGTTGGGATGGAGAAAAATCAACTACTGAAAAGGAAATAAAAATCAGTCGATTGACTTAAAGTGGCACTCAACCCTACAAACATTCTTGACAAAAAGCAGAACCGTGTTTAAGCCTGTTTAATGTAGCGACATGGTTTTTTGACAAAATGCATCACAGAGGCTTATTGTCCAACCACCGTTGCCCCATAGCAAAACCTTGTTTAGGCCTGTTTACTGTAGCAACATGGTAACCACCCTGTACATAACCTACCATGATTATCTATTTGTGTAACTTATGTATGTAAAGTGGTGGGCATAATATGGACACAAACATCAGCCAGAAAAGGTCATGCAAATGAATATTAAAGGATAAAATCACCTTTACTGTAGCGAAGAGAGAATTGCATATCTACCATGGTATAAGATGGGCTTCGCTGGAATGCCATCGTTTAAATGGGCTTCGCTAGAATACCATCCTTAACCAGAGTGTCTTCGCCAAAATACCATTTCAGACGGAAATGCCACTGGCTCTTCTTCTTCCTCTATCCCACGCGTAAAGAGCTTGCCAGCGGCCATGGCCAGCTCCACCACCGAGCCACTGGTGCCGCCTTGCCGGCGACGATTGGGGCGTTGCCCCCTACCATCCCCGCCGGCGCCGGCGGCGGAGGGTGGTGCGCCCGTGCATTTGAGGTCGTCGAGGCTGCCCACGCCGCTCAGCGCCCTGTCAGCGTCGCTCCTCGGTGTGTCTGTGGTGCTGCTCGTCGCACTATTGGTGTGCCGGCTTATGAGGGGAAGGGGGAGGAGGCGAGGGAGGAAGAGCGCGCTCGTGCCGCAGGAGGCGCCGCTGACGCAGCAACAGCAGGGGGCATAAAAAGGGGCGATGGCGGCGGAGGATGAGGAGGAGGGGAACGCCTAGCCGGATTGGGTCCGGGAGATCGACCGCCGGAGCGGATAGGAGCAGCGGCGAAGAAGCCATGCGTGAGAAAACATTTTTTTTTCTTTCTTTTTGGTCGATGGGAGAAGTGGACGAATCAAACGACAAGGGTCGGCAGAGATGGCAGGGAGGGCAGCGCCCCAATCGCCGCCGGCAAGGCGGCACCGGTGGTGCGGCGGTGGAGCTGGCCATGGCCACCGGTGAGATCTTCACGCGTGGAATGGAGGAAGAAGAAGAGCCAGGGGCAAGGATGGTATTCTAGCGAAGCCCATCTAAGCGATGACATTCCAGCGAATCCCATCTTATACCATGGTAGATATGCAATTTTCTCAATAAAATGTGTAATGAATTTTCTAACTTGTACCTGTGTCGGTTAGAATTCCACAATAACAGTTAAAGCAAGGAGTTTTTTTTTTTTTTACTATCCTTGATATCTCTTGGTAGTTGGTACCTCCAAGTATCTAAGATCTGAGCCATCCATTATACCATATCGAACGGCTAAGAGTGGTCCATACCGGGTGGTACTTGGCACGTGCTAAAAACTATTGAAGGAGGTGCTAACAGGGATGGGCAAACAAGTAATTGCTGGCCTCTTCTCTCTGTTCTCTCCTGATGGGCAATGAACAAGCAGAGCGCGACTGCGCCGCACGTACATAGTCAAGGAAGCGTCGAGAGAAGCAAGACATAGCAGGCGAGCTCTGAATTCTTTGGCCTGTGGGACGAGCTCGCTGGTATAAGCCTCGACCCTGCGTCCACAGACACGCTTGTTTGGACGGGCGTCGGGGAATGGAGTGTTCCCAACCAAATCAGCCTAGGCATTGCTTACAGCCGGAAGAACTTATTGTCCCTGGGGAAGATCATTTGGAAATCCAGGACCCCCGCCAGATACAAATTCTTCATGTTTCTGACGGTCAGAGGGGCATGTATGATGGCCGATACCATGCAACACCGTGGGTGGCACCTTGCGTCGTTCTGCCATCTCTGTGCTAGCGATGGCAAATCGTGCCATCACATCTTCCAATCGTGCCTATTTAAGTGGAAAGGAGCAAATGGTAGATTGCGAGCGATCTGGATTGTTTAGTGTTCTGTTTACCGTTGCATCCCAATGGTTTTAGTTCTTTGCACTTAGATTTTGATCGGATGGAGAAAAAATCGTCTGATACAAGCAAGATTGGCAGATTGCGAGCGGTCTGGGCGAGTAACGTTCTTTCGATCTATTATCCCCGTATCCATAGTTTTTTGCCCCACCGGAGACGCATATGTTACTTCAACATGTCTGAAACGCGTGTGGACACAAAAACAGCGAGCGATTCCGCAGCTTGCTGGCCAGCGCCACCCGTTCTTGAATTGCCACGGTCAAGAAAGGGCGCGACGTTCTCGAGATAGCCGACAAATACTCGACCGCGAGTTCATCTTCCGCTTTACGGGCACTCTGGCACGGAGACGACGCCCATCGCTGTGGCACACATCGAACAATATTTTGCCTGACGGACGCAGTCACACTCTTTGAATTACAGTGACACGTACAGATCACTGTAGCGCTTAACATGTTACATTTGCTACACAAAACACTCGTACTCACTCCATCCAAAAATTTGATAATATAGGATGAAACATATTCTAATATTCCGAATCTAAATTTAAATTGTGTAGATTCGTAGTACTATAATATTTTGAAATGAAGGTAGTACTGCCAGAGCCATTGGTAAATACAAATGGAAGGTGCATCGATGTATCAAGCAACGGGGCCAACCCTGTGCGCGGTCCTGGCGGTTGGCCCGACGGTGCAGCTCTTGCTCTTCGGAGCCATGGCCAGCGCCCTGGCCTCGGCGTCGAGGCCGAACTCGCACGGCTCGTCCTCGTCGATCCTCCCGATGGCCACGCTCTGGCTCCGCGGCCCGACGCCGGGAGGCCTCGGCGGCCCACCGGCGCGCGAGGCTAGGCGTATCAGCTCGCGTATGTCGTCGTCGGTGCTGCCTCCCGCCGCCGACCGGTAGAACCCGTGGCTCTGGCACCGCGGCACCGCGACCAGCCCCACCGGGGCGCCTCTCCCGCCGCCGCCCGCGCACGCCGCCATCCGGCTCACGTACAGGTCCCGCGCGCGCACCAGCACGCGGAACGGCGCCCGCACGCACCGCCCCAGGATTGCCAGCGCCCGCATCCCCCTTGTCCCCGCTGCCGCCGCCGCCGCCATGTACGTACGTATGCCGCGCCGACCGTTCTGCCGACCAAACCGGTTGGTGCGAAAGTGAAAACGCCTCCTCTGCTCTGCTCTGCTTCAATCTGGCTGTGCTTATGTAGGGAGGAGAGAGACGCAGCGCGCGCGCGGGGGAGACGAGGAGAGGAGCGACCCGTTCCGAGCGAAGCGGCTCGCTCACCTGGGGCGTACAACGCGGCAATGCGATGCGGTCGATGCTGTTTGAAATTGACTGGTGCACTGGTGCGTGGACCGGCCGGATAATTCGGAGCGGCGACGCGGGGGGGGGGGGGGGGGGGGGGTGTTGGGCCGCGCCTGCATCGGAGGACGCATCGCACGGGCGCGCACGGGGTGTTTTTGCCCTTTTGGTGTTGGTCTCAGGTCTCTTCTGGCTTCTACTGGGGCTTGGCCGGTTCAAGTCAAGCGGGCTCCTTTTTCTTACAAAATAGATTAAAATCCAGCCTCTACACGTCGTCCTGCTCGCTAGCTTGGAATTCTTGGGCGCGTCATGCAAAGTTTTCAGTCAGCTCGATGCAGTACTCCCTCCATCCCCCAATATAAAAGATTTTTGATATTTTACATGTACTGTTTGACCACTTATTTTATTAAAAAAAATTGTGCAAATATAAAAAGAAAAGTTGTGCTTAAAGTATTTTAAATAATAAAGTAAGTCAAAAAATAAATAATAATTTTAAAAAATTTTAATAAGGCGAATGATCAAACAATGCAAATAAAATATCAAGATCTCTTATAGGGACGAAGGGAGTACTATATTTAACTGGCTGAAGTCAGAAGATAGGTGAATATATAAAACCAGATGTTAAGGTCGCATGCAATGTACAGTACCTTGACATTCTGGTAAAATATGCTACCAGCGGAATTGCATATGAATTGGTCAACCATTTCCATCTTGATGATTACTACGTATTAAATTAATGCATGCAAGAGCCTTGCGCAATGCTTTGCCTTGGGTTTGACCATCATGCTGCATTGCTGAACGTATATCATATATGATATATGAACCTGAACGCTGCATGCATTGCTTGCGCAAAGTTTTTCTTTAAACTTCTAATTTTTCCATCACATCAAAACTTTCCTATATATACAAATTTTTAACTTTTTCATCACATCATTTTAATTTCAACCAAACTTTTAATTTGTACGTGAACTAAACATAGCCAAAGTGTGCTAAGTGCCAACATAATTACAGGAAAGCTTTTGCCGCGGGTGCAGTGCAACAATAGCATACCTGGACCTAGACAACTGATCACTGAACTTGATTTTTTAGTAGCGAGAACAAGGGAGTGTAATTAAGAGCGTGTTTAGGTTGACCGCCTAGTGCGCCCTGGTGTGATGCGATTGTGTCAATTCAAATGAGCCTGTTTAAGTTGAACGCTTATGACCGTGTTGATAAAAAGCTTTACTTCTTTGACCAATTGACCGTGATCCTCAATGGGATCGCTTCCCCTTAACCAGAGGGCCATTCGCTGAAGCCTTTTTCTCCATCTTGTTCAGCCCCGCCGCCCGGACGCCGCTCCGCCATGAACTACGACATGGCATCTGCTGTCGAGTTTGCCTTGTCGAGTTGTAGTTGAGCAGATGCAAGCAGAAAACAGATGAGAGTCGACAGCGTTATTGTTGCAACAGCAGCAGCAGCAGCGTGAAATCTGACGCCGCGCCGCCGAGAGTGGATAAGAGGGACCCGAACTGTCGAACTGACCTCCTCTGCGTGTCTGCGTCGTCTCCATGTTCACCAGAGCGCGTCGACAGCGATCGAAACCGGAGCGGCGGGGGCTGTTGCTGCTGCATGCTGCCTCTCACCACCGGGGACTATTTTGCAAAGAGGAAAAAAATGCAGGCTAAATCAGGGATTCTCTAAATTTTGGATCGCTACCAATGTTTTAGCCATTCAAATCTGAGACTCAAAACTATAAAACCTCTGCTGACCGTTCAAAGCAACGAAGTTGGCAAATATCATTTCATGGCATGCCTACTTTGATGTCAGTTGAATCCCCTGACCCCTACCACGTCAATGTAGGGGATATTGTGATTACAAATAGTGGTATAGAAGGTCTAGATATATCTCAAATAGCAAGTATAGTGGTTACAAACTTCACAAGACAATGTGAGATATTGTGATTCATGTTCATAGAGAACTACTTCAAGTGAGGCCATATATATTTCCATTTATACTCTCCAAATATCAACAAGAGCGCCTAGCTTTATAATTACTGACACATATAATGCCATCAATTTTATTTCCCAAGTATATATCACAAATCTTACAAAGATGATACCTAGGTATCTAGATACCATAATGACATCAGCATGATATCTTAAGTATCAGAGATACCATATTAACTTTATCATGATACTAGTAAATATAAACTATTTCGTTGTAATGGTATAGTGTTTTCTAGTACTTTCAATCTAATAAAAAGCCCACGTGTAGGACACATGGTTACTGGGCTAATTCTAGTATTATGGACCCACATAAGCCCATAACTCTCTGAATTTAGGTTTGCCTAAGGTTAGGTTGTGTTTGTTACAAGAATGAAAGGTAAGGAATGAAGGAGAATTGTTCATGTCAGAGTAATATTTTGTTTTTATATTGTGAAACTAATGCAGCCGCTATTCTAGATTACAGTGATGTAGTTCATTTAAAATTGTTAAGATTTACAATTTGGGTTTCAAGAGTTAAATGGGAAAGCATTGTTGGTAAATATGGTGCTGTCGTGTGTGCCTAACTTCACTTCACCTACTAGGATTTAAATTCTAATGCTCACGAATATTATGGGTTATTTGGTAGGGCTCAAATCAGATTTGGAGTTAGGGTTGTGAAGCTGGAAAAACGTAGCTTCACCCTTCCTATATATTTGTGGAGAAGATACATCCACTCACTCCACTCTTAAAAATTTGAGAATGTAGTAGTGTTTGGTTTGGCTTTACCTTCACCAGACAAGGATCAAGGAAATAAATCCTTGCCAAACATAACCCATGTACACGTGTATGTGCTTTTAATAAGAATTTAGTAAGATCGGAAATGTGCGTTGTTGGTTTACGTCATTTTAAACGTGTTGGGGCGTATTCGCGAGTGAGTATGGTGTTGTGTGTATTGTGGTGTGTGTCGTATATGCCGTGTAATTGGGGAAAAAACAATATATTACATATGGACAAATGCAACTTCAATTGTAAGTAAAATGCACGAGCACGGAATAAAACTAAAATTTTAAAAACATTTGGGAAACCTTCCGAAAAGATTGCGTATTTATTTTACCACTACTAGTTTTTATGTGCCACTGGTCTAATTCCGAGCCATTCGATCAAATCTCCCTACCAATTAATAGCGGATTGCGACTTGTAGAAGATAGTGGAATACTGGAATGTCCATACTCGAAGCAACCTGTCGAATTAATTTGCTCGAAAAGCACATTGCAATCACACCATGGACCATATTATCCTCTTCCCGGTTAGTACATCCCTGAAGTTAACTTAACTAACTGCTTTGCTTTTGCGTAGCAACAAACATTCCCCCGAACAACGCAGAACCAGTCAAGCAGCTTTCCCCATCTGAGGTCCCGTTCTTTTCTTCAACAAGAGTTAGATAAAGATTAAAATTTTCGTGGCACGCTTTTCAAACTTCTAAACGGTATGTTTTGTGCGAAAATTTTCTATATGAAAGTTGCTCTAAAATATCATATTAATCTATTTCTCAAGTTTGTAATAATTAAAACTTAATCAATTATACGTTAATACTACCTCGTTTTGCGTAAAAAATTTAATCTCCATCCTTATCTTCAGAAGAAAAGAACGCCACCTAAGTCTCAAAGTCTCACTCACTTCGCGTGAAATATGGACCATCCACTCTTGCCCTTCAACACCCTACATAGGAAAAAGTACACCGAAGGTCCCTCAACTTGTCATCGAGTTACAAAATCATCCCCAAACCACGAAACCAGGTATCCAGCGTCCCTCATCTATCAACACCGATTACAATAGGTCCTTCGGTGGTTTTGACCCCAGTTTTGGCTTACGTGGCGGCTGAGTCAGCGTGGGACCCACGTGGGCCCCACATGTCATGCTGCCACATCACCCTCCTCTCTCTCTCTCTTTTCCCCTCTTATCTCCCTTCCTCATCTCTCTCTCTCCCTTCTCTGACAGCCGCCGGTGGGAAGATGAGGGTGTCGGCGGCCGGCGAGGGGCGACACGGCGGCAGTGATGGCGGCGACGGGCGACGCGGCGGCGATGGGAGAGACACTGCAGGTGGGCGGTGGGGAGGAGCGGCGCGCGGGCGGCGAGGAGCAGTGCGCGGGCTCCCCCGCCGGCCGCCGCCCACCGCCCACGAGGCCCACGAGGCAGAGGAGGAGGCGGCGGGCGGCACGGCGGCGACGACACGGCAAATTACTGAGGATATCAGCAAGGTCCATATAAACAAGATAATCACCAGGCAAATTACTGCTGCTGCTGCTACTTCACCATTTGTGCATTTCCTCTTCTACTATCTTAGCTGCAGCTCGCACGCTTTGAGTACGTGCATTGTTCAACTGCCATTTCTCTCCTCAATTCCAAAAAAATATATTCACCTTTTTCTCATTCGAGCTAAACCATTTCGATCAATGGAATTCGGACGATCTCCAGCCCTTCTACTCCTCGTTGGTAAGTCCGAGAAACTTTCAGGCCGGTTAACTTTAGGCTGTTAGCACACATCTTCATTCTTCAACAATGGCGTGTCTCAATGCAGGGTTCCTATGGTCGCAGCTGCAGTTCGGCGCTGAGGCAGCTGGCACGACGGTCTTCACGCTGCGCAACAACTGCACCTACACCGTCTGGGTGACCACCTTGTCCGGAAACACAGCGGTCGGGGGCCGTTGGGGGCGGCGACTTCGAGCTGTCGCCCATCGCCAACGTCTCATTCCTAGCCCCGGATGGTTGGTCCGGCCGCTTGTGGGCGCGCACGGACTGTGCACCCTACGGCACCGCGCCCCTCGCCTGCGCCACGGGGGACTTCGGCGGCGCCGTGAGCTGCTCCCTCGGCGGCGCGCCGCCCGTCACCCTCGCCGAGTTCACGCTGGGCGGCGCCGACGGGAAGGACTTCTACGACGTGAGCCTCGTGGGCGGCGGCCGACGGGGGAGCCCGCGCGCCGCTCCTCCCCCCGCCACCCGCGCTCTGCTCCTCGCCGCCCCTCCCCGCCGCCCACCCGCAGCTTCTCCCCCCACCGCCGCCGCGTCGCCCCTCGCCGGCCGCCGACGCCCTCCTCCTCCCGCCGGCTGAGTCAGAGAAGGGAGGGAGAGATGAGGGAGAGAAGAGTGGAAAAGAGAGGGAGAGAGGAGGCTGATGTGGCAGCCTGACATGTGGGGCCCACGTGGGTCCCACGCTGACTCAGCTGCCACTTAGGACAAAACCGGCGTCAAAATCACCGAAGGACCTATTGTGGACCTATAGTTGAGGGACGCTGGATACCTGGTTTTGTGGTTGGGGGACGATTTTGTAGCTCGATGACAAGTTGAGGGACCTTCGGTGTACTTTTTCCCCCTACATATCCATCCGATCGGTCGTGTCCCGCGACAGAGGCACAGCCCGTACATTATTCCCCAGCCCGCACGCGCGTACGCCAACGGCCCAGCGACTGAACGGCCCAGTGGATGTCCCCATCTTAGCAGAGAAAGTCATTGTGTGTGTGACTGTAACTACCTACTGCTGGAAGGACAGACGTAACTAACCACCGTTTCCCCTGCTTTTTTAGCGGCTCCGAACGATCCAAATTTCAGAAGCAGCTTCACCACACGAAGCAGGAATCACCAAATCCAGAGCAGCAAAAGAGACAAACGGAACCAAAAAAAAAACAGGGTTGGATCGATCAGTGGTCACACGGTGGCATCATGGTGGTGGGGAGGCCGTCGTCATCATCGGTGGCTCGTGCGGTCGTGCTCCTCGCGGCGGCCATGCTGCTGTCCACGCTGAGCCCGTGCTGCTGCGCGTCGGCGGGCGGCGGCGGCGGCGCGCGGCGGCGTGAGAAGCAGCAGCAGCTGCACCCGGTGATCCTGATCCCCGGCGCCGGCGGGAACCAGCTGGAGGCGCGGCTGACGGAGGAGTACGCCCCGTCGAGCCTCGCGTGCCGCGTGTGGCCCGTGGTGCGCGGCCGCGGCGGGTGGTTCCGCCTCTGGTTCGACCCGTCCGTCGTCGTGGCGCCGCTCACCAGGTGCTTCGCCGACCGGATGACCCTCTTCTACGACTCCGTCGCCGACGACTACCGCAACGCTCCCGGCGTCGAGACCAGGGTCTCCGACTTCGGCTCCACCTCCACCCTCCGCTACCTCGACCCCAACCTCAAGTACGATTCTTACTACTATCAGCATTCAACGCGTTGTTGTTGTTGGTGATGACGCGAATGCAAATTGCAAATGGGATGTGTAGGTTGCTAACGGGGTACATGAACGTGTTGGCGAGCACGCTGGAGAAGGCAGGGTACGAGGAAGGGTTCGACCTGTTCGGCGCGCCGTACGACTTCCGGTACGGGCTGGCCGGGCCGGGGCACCCGTCGCGTGTGGGCAGCGCGTACCTGGAGCGGCTGAGGAAGCTGGTGGAGTCGGCGTGCGCGGCCAACGGCGGGAGGCCGGCGATCCTCGTGGCGCACAGCCTGGGCGGGCTGTACGCGCTGCAGATGGTGGCGCGGAGCCCCCCCGCGTGGCGCGCCGCGAACGTGAAGCGGCTGGTGACGCTGTCCGCGCCGTGGGGCGGGTCGGTGCAGGAGATGCTCACCTTCGCGTCGGGCAACACCCTCGGCGTGCCGTTCGTCGACGCGTCGCTCATCCGCGACGAGCAGCGCACCGCCGAGAGCAACCTGTGGCTGCTGCCGGCGCCGCGGGTGTTCGGGAACACCACGCTGGTGGTGTCGCGGCACCACAACCGGTCCTACTCCGCCAAGAACATGACGCAGTTCCTCCGGGACATCGGGTTCGCCGAAGGGGTGGAGCCGTACCGGGAGCGGATACGGCCGCTCGTCGAGGTGCTGCCGGAGCCCGGGGTGCCGGTGACGTGCCTCGTCGGCACGGGCGTCGACACCGTGGAGAGCCTCGTGTACGGGGAGGGCGGGTTCGAGGCCGGGCCGGAGAAGGTGGTGTACGGCGACGGCGACGGGACGGTCAACCTCGACAGCCTCGTCGGGCCGATCAAGGCGTGGTCCGACTCGCCGGAGCAGGTGGTGGAGGTGGTCGAGCTGCCCGAGGTGTCGCACTCCGGCATCCTCAAGGACAAGAGCGCGCTCGACCAGATCTTGAGGATCATCGACGCCATCAATCTGAACGCCACGACCTCAAGCTCCTCCATCAATCGATCGTCTCAGGATGTTTTGTACAATTAGATTATATTGCTCGCTTCAAGATTTGCTTCTTTTAATCGTTGAGAATTTGCAAGGGGGTACTCCCTCCTCCGTTTCACAATGTAAGTCATTCTATCATTTTCTATATTTATATTGATGTTAATGAATCTAGACATATATCTATTTAGATTCGTTAACATTAATATGAATGTGGAAAATGCTAGAATGACTTACATTGTGAAACGGATAAAGTAGTTAGCTACCTATAGTGGCCGGTCAAGTGCATGTTTTTTGCACGTTAACAAGCCAATTAAGGCAACAATAAGAGCAATTAAAATGTGTTCCTTTCGTAATAGTACTATCAGTATCATATTAGCCTATGAAATTCGAGGTCATTCCTTTCAGATGTTTCTTGTTCAATGGCAGGTTTGCGTTGCCATACAGTATTATCATCCATTAATGCAATTGAATTTATCCACAGTACAATGCCATGGGTACAATTGAAAAAGGCTTCCTTAAGATACAAGTCTGAATTTCGCATTTACACCTGCTTGCAACGCATCAAAGTCACAGAGTACGTGCTACATGCGCCAGGACATGCAAAGCAATCGCGTGATCATTCGGCTGCTGCTGTGAAATAACTCACCACAAAATCTGATCGGCGAGTACAAAGTGCAATTAGGATCCTTAAATCTCGTTTTAGAGTGATGTTCATTACCCGTAGAGATCAATCAAGGATGGATTTAGTGGGGCACAGCTACAACTTAATTGAGCTCGTACGTAGAGCAAACTCTGGCATGTTACTCCGTGCGTGCTACCCCTGCAAGCAAAAGAACTGTCATGTTCGTAGAGATCACGCAAATATCAATGTGAGGATCCAGTTCCCTAACTCCAAACAGTACAGAAGAAGCCGATCTAAACATTCATTTTACACCCCCGTATACTTTGTATTAAGCCCATGCATAATTCGGTAGGAATCTTGAGGTTCTCTATGGGATAAAAGAAGTGAAATTTGTGGCGATGTCATTGGACTGCCCATTACCCACTCTTTTTTAAAATATATGATATTGTTGACTTTTAAACGTAATATACTAGTATTTTGCTCCTTATTTTAAAATTTTGTGCAAATATTTAAAATAGAAGTTATATTTAAATATATTTGATGATAAAATAAGTCTAAAAAATAAACGATATTTACATACTATTTTTAATAAGATAAATGTTCAATCGTCATATTAAGAATCAATGACGGCATATATTTAAAAACATAGAGATAGCTATAGTTTTGCCAAAATTCTACTCCCTCATGTCATTATAATTTGATTTTATAGAGTACTAATGGATTGAGTACATTGTTTGAATGAGATGTTGACATTTAGATTAGGGGGCAGTTGTCATTGTCGCACTAGATGCTATTTTGACAAACTACGGCCGTATTTAATTTCCCCTCGATTCCCAACTTTCCATCACATCATATTACATCAAAAAATTTCCTACACACGTAAACTTCTAACTTTTTTTTCCAACCTTCCAACTTTCTTCAAACTTCCAATTTCCAACTTTTTCAGGAACTAAACACACCCTACAGCTAAAACATTGATATACTGACAATTATCAAAAAATTGTACATAATAGTTTTTTATTCTATAATAAATAAATTTCACGAGATTATAGAAGTAGATCGTTTCATTTCATCTTTCACCTCATGGGCCTCAAAATGAGTGGGCCGATCCACTCTAGCCAACCACGGCCCAGCCATCCATTCCACAGCCCGTCGATTTGAAACGGACGACCCAGATTTAGGAACTGCCTGTTGTGCCGTACTGGACAGCCGTGTGAGCCTAGGACTAGTGCGCCACGAGGGCCGGGCCCAGTCGCAGCTAGGCAAGCCACCCGTCTCTTTCTGTCTCTTGTGGCGTCACCCCACCCCCAACCCGTGCGTTTCAAACGCGAGCCCGGAAAAAATAAGCAAACCCATCGATTGAACCAACCCAACCCCACGCGACGCGACCCACTCCCCACCCCTTCCCCCTCCCCTCCCCGCCGCTGCCGGCGATCGCCGGAGATGTCATGGCTCGCCCGCTCCCTCGCCACCTCCCTCAACATCCCCGAAGATGACCCAGGCGCCGACGACGACCCCGACTCCTACGCCGCCGCCGCCGCCCCGTCTCCCTCCGCGCGCAATCCGCATCCGCCGCAATCCGTGCATCCCCACCCTCCGCATTCGGCCGCGGCGGAGGGCGTCAAGGAGGACCTCACCGAGCTGTCCAAAACCCTAACCCGGCAGTTCTGGGGGGTCGCGAATTTCCTCGCGCCCCCGCCCGGGGAGACCTCGCCCTCGCCCTCCCCGCCATCGGCGGAGGCCAGATACGGAGGTGGAACCGCGCAGACGCCGCCTGAGATCTCCGGGATCCGCAGCGATTTTGCCGAGATCGGCGGGAGGTTCAAGAGCGGGATCTCGCGGATCTCGAATCACAAGGCCATGTCCGGATTCTCTAGGATTGCCTCCAATTTCTTCGCTGATGAAGACGAGGAAGAAGAGGAATTGGTGGATGCGGTGAGGGGCTACGGGGTGGAAGAGCAGAGGGAAGAGTTGAGGTTTCGAGCGGAGGAGGTGGCGACGGACAGGGTAAGACATGAGGCAGATGATTACGAGGTGAGGCATGGTTGGGAAGAGAGTGTACGGCATAGGGTGGACGACGATGAAGCGAGGCATGAGGTTGACGACGATGAGGGGAGGCATGATGAGTGGGAGGAGAGGCTAAAACATGAGGCGGATGGCGGCGAGGTAATGCATAAAGAGCTGGATGACCACGAGTTGGAGTTGGAGACTGTAAGACATGAGGAGGAGGAGGAGGAGGTCGAAGAGGAGTGGGATGTGATAGGAATCACCGAGGAGGTGCTTGCATTCGCCACAAACATCGCTAGGCACCCCGAGACCTGGCTTGACTTCCCACTGCTCCCTGATGATGATGACTCTGATGGGCCATTCTCATGTAATTTGTTCTCCCTTCACTACAAGTTATTGTTTTCGTATTTGAACAAATCGAATTGCTCTGCAGTTAGACATATGTATTTGTTTGACCATGAAAAGCTACGGTTTAGGTGTGTTATGCTCCTTCTGTATTGTTCTTAAGATTGTATTAGGTATAGGCACTAATAGATACTGCGGTTATAGTAGACAGCTAGACATTTATTTGTTTCTATTTTGCATTGGTAGTGCCATAAATTTCTCTGGTATGACTCTTATGCCGTGGATAACAGTGGAAACAAGACGAGATTTGGGGTAATTAGTTGCATGATACCTGACTATCTTAAACAAGATAATGAATTTTCTAAGCATTGGACATAATCATACATATTATTTTTCCACTAAGCAATTACAACCTGCATCCCAAAATATAACAACTTTTGGTTGTGCATTTGGACAAGAGTATGTCTAGATACATAGCCAAAAGTTGCTATATATTTTGTTGGAGGTAGTACCTTATGTGTGCTGATGTCATCCATGTATTTGCATCTATGTTTGACAACTTAACCTGTTGCTTCTAATATTTCACCGAGTATAGCTCCCATATTTAGGATCCCAGGGTCATAAAGTTTTGTGTGGTATTTTACAGTGAGACTGCATTCTTAGTACCAGTATTTGATACCAAGAAGTCTTCGCCAAATTTTTGTGGTCCAGAACTCCAGATTGATCTCTGGGGTCAGCTTGCTGCATGTCATAGCCTCATAGGGCATTGAACATTGCTCTACTGAACAGAATCCTAGAGTGACCATTCCGTAATGAATAGGATAATAGCATGGGAAAATGTGTTCTGCCAACATGGTGAGCACACAGGTTATGAACAAAATTCATAAAACCCTTTATATGCATGATTTAATATTTGTCAAGTGTCTTCTTCAATGTTGAGTGCCACTCTTTGTAGTAGTATGCTGATGACATTGCATGCGTTTGTGTTTTGTTTTTGCTAAGGAACTCATTGTCTTAATTTTGATAGAAAGCCATGTAGTCTGATACTCTGATGCATTTAGTATATCAATCGTACCTTATTTTCTCTGCCCAGATTGAAAGTTGTTTATTAACATTCATAATCTTTTTGTTCTTCAGATTTTGACATGTCGAATGCTCAGCAAGAGCATGCCTTGGCTATTGAACAGCTTGCTCCTAGATTAGCTGCTTTGCGGATTGAACTATGCCCAATACATATGAGCGAAGAATGTTTTTGGAAAATTTATTTTGTTCTCCTACATCCTAGACTGAACAAGCATGATGCTGAGCTTCTGTCAACACCACAGGTAAATTGATCTGCATTATTGATATTGATTTATTTTTATATGTAATATCAACTGTTCCCAAAACCAATTCAATTCAGTAGAAAGTATGAGATGACTGTTTTTACTCAACAGTGTTTGCATGAAACCCTTTGTATTTGTTCTATTTGTTTTTGCTCACTGTCAGTACAAAGTATTAGTGGCTACTTGAACACCACTAATAGTAAACATGGAAAATTTTGCCTAACCCGAAACAATTCAGCCTTGAATTGTCACTACTTGTTTGTGTGCTATGATTGTAGTAAGGGAAGATCCCATCTTTATGTTAACATTGTAATGAGCATGGATGCGATAAGGGCCCTTAGTCCTATTTGAGGTTGTCCCCGGACCCAATTTGGCATGATGGCACCATGGAGGCTGCACCACAAGGGCAGGGAGGGAGAGACTAAATAATGGTTAAGACTCTTGTTTGTTTCTTGCTTAAGGAATAGAGATAGCACCCCATCCTTATATAGATAGGATGACTTCACCCTTGAAAAGTTTATCTCTAAAATTAAGAAAAATCAATTTAATCTAAACCATGTGAACAGTATCCACACTTGAACGCTGAACATTAACCACGTGTGAACACTTCATGCATGGACTGCTGCTGGCCCTATAGGTGTCGACCACTACTATATAGGCCCTAGTGGACAGCACATGACAAACATCAGTATATGCTGATCAATCGAGCAAGTTATGTAATTTTACATGGACACAAAAACATACCAGTAGATATGCCCATGACCCGTTAGGCAGCTTAGCTTACATAATCCAGGTTAGGTTGTATATTTGTTGATAGTATATGTGGATAGCTGTCCTCCAAAATCCATGTGCATATTCAATCGTATTCTTCTTATGCGTTGGTAATTCAGCCTTCCTAGGATGGCTATTGGAGAAAAGTTTCATACTTCATGCCAGCGCACTGTACAAATTATACTTGTGTTATTTAGTGTTCAGTGACAAGCAAACCGAGCAAAGCTAGCCTTTCATCCAATTAACACTGAAGCTAACCCAGCTGCTAGCTACTCTCTCCTTCCACATAAATATGACATTGGTTAGTTCATTTTTTAACTAACCAATGTCATATATAAATGGAAGGAGGGAGTACTTCTGTTCAAAAGGTAGCATATTTGACCATACATTGAGATTTAAGAGTCTGTTTTGAAAAATTATATGGACAAATAATTGGAATTAATTAAAGCACTCGTAGGGAATTTGATTATCCAACCAAGTGGCATATTCTACCTAGCATACTCAGTTAATCATCTTGGCTAAGGATTTTTGAGAGACCTGCCTTACATTGGACTAAATAAATGGCAATAGTTATGCTCAATTATCAAAACTGCTTGAATAGAAGCATGTGGCAACATGTGGATCCTGCATTCCTGCTGCATAAACAACACAGCAAGCCTTCTCGTTGATATATGTATTGTGATAAATGCGTGACAAGTATGTCCTCGTCCCCCAAAGCAATCACTGGCTATATCTGCCTAAAGGAAGGCAAGCTATCTCCAGTAGATAATGTGAATTTGGCTGGTTATGATGAGCTATCTTGAGGGTTGTTTAGGACTATGCATTCCAACCAACTGATCTCTGTCTGTTTCTATTTGGTTGATATTGGTTGCATACAACACATATTCTATAATGCATATCAGGAATTAAAATAGTATGTTTCAGAATTGGTGCAACACAATACATGCTCTATCAGGTAAGCTAAGTTTAATGCTGTTCTTGTTCTTGCAGATTGTTGAAGCTAGAGCGATGCTTATGCAATGTTTGCAGCACCAGTCAAAGTTTGAAACGGAGCAACTATTTCATCGTAAAGATGATTTCGGCATGCATTCAGAAGAGGATACCTCCAAAGATATTCCAGAGGTATTCCCATCTATGCTACAACAGACCGCTTCCGTCATCCCTATAACAGATTTTGAGACCGAAAAGCATCCTATCCAAGTAACTGAAGTTGCAGTAGTCGACAAATCTGTCATCAAAGAGCAGCTTACCAAGGATGGTAGCAAGACCCCAAATGTTTTGCAAGAAAGCTTTGATGATGACATAGATGATTGGTTCGACGAGGAGGCCGAGCTCTCCGGGCACACAACCATTCCCATAGGTGATGAGGAAGATGTGTCTTTTAGTGACTTGGAGGATGATGATGGGAAATGATTCTAGGTCATGGGCAATTTCAGCCTGTATGTTGGAAACTTGCCTTTTCTACTGTACAAGCGAAGTTGAAATCGTTTTGTCAATAGAATGAAAGCTGTATAGTGAAGTAGAGCTGCTTTGTTTTGGTTTCAAGCTGCCCGGTTGGAAGCAGTGAAAGTAGAGCTGCTTTGTTTTGGCTCAAGCTGCCCTGATGGAAGCACTGTGGTCACCAGCATTACGGTTTGTAATCTTATTCTTTTAATCCGTGTACATAAGCATTGGTGATGTTTCAAGTTCACGACAATAAAAGTTCTATTCGTTGGTTGGTTTTTAAAGGATTGCACTTGCACATCCACACTATACACAGGAGAGCATACCAGTCTGGAGAATTGTATTTGCAATGACAACATACTGTACTTGTGTATATACAAATTTTTTACTGCTTCCTGACACTATTATTCCTCAACATGCAATGCAAGATATCACTGCAATGGAGGTACCAATTGAAGGCCATGCTTAGCAACAGCCAAAGGGTGATGAATTGACCTGGCTAACACTGTCTTAAGACTTGATGTAGCCAAAGTTATTGGAGAGCTTCCCAAGGTGTGACCAGAGGAGGCTCCCGAGGGAGGACCTCGGCCTCTCCTGGCCCTCCGCCGCCGGCGGTGCCGCCGGCGTTGCCACCGCCGGAGCCGCTTCGGCGGGCGGTGCCGGCACGCTGGTCTTCCTCACCGGTGGCCAGCCAGGCGCGTCCTTGGCCACTTCGAACGAGATCCCCACCTTGCCGACCCTTGCCCGCACCGCGTGCAGCGCCTCGGCGCGCACCTCGCCGCCGGCGTCGGTGACGAGGTAGAATGTCCCGATGGCCTCGTCCTTCCGCCGCTTCAGCTCCACCCTCAGCAGCGACAGCCCGTGCTCCCGCAGCATCCTCGTGAAGTCCGACAGCAACCCCGACCGGTCGGCGGCGCGCACCTCCACCTTCGCGCCCTGCGGAAACATTGTCAGTGACCGACCGTGGCGTCGCGCGTAGGAGTATCCAACAGGAGAAAAATGGAGAATGGCGATGATGAGCCTGACATGGGAGGCCCTCCGCTCCACGGCGGCGACGAGGCACCGGGAGACCTTCTGCCGCTCGGCGTTGCTGTCGACCGTGCGCCCATCCTTGTGCCGGATGTAGTACTCCTGCGTCCATTCATGGCGCCGTCGACGGCGACGACGGCAAGGTCAGCGTCAGCTCGGCGTTGCTGTTGATAACGATGCAGCATACAACCGATGTACCTGGATGGCAAGGGGGCCCTGGGACCCGACGGTGGCGTGGAAGACGACGTAGTGCATGTCGGTGAGCGCGCACACGGTGTCGAACAGCAGCTTGGGGCGGTCCCTGCTGGTCATCTTGACGACGGCGTAGCCGCGCTCCTCCCAGCTCTCGATGGACACGCGCGTCTCCACGCGGCGGGCCAGCCGCGCCGTGGTGGCGGCCTTGTCGCCCATGCTGAAATGCTCCTCGTCGACGGGCGTCGCGGCGGGGCCGGACTCGTAGTCGCGGTCGTCGTGCATCAGCTGGTGCAGCCGCCGCTCCGTGTGGACGCGCCCCTCCACCGGCGCCGACATGCTCACCCAGTGTCGCTCCCCGGTCAGCTTCTCCCGCGCCCCCATCACGGCGTCCACCAGCCCCTCGATGTGCTCCCACCGGCTCGGCGCCGGCGCCGCCGCCTCGGCCGCGGCGCCGCCGCCGGCCGTCGTGACGTAGAGCACGCCCGCGGCGCGCCCGCTGTGCGTCCACGCCTGCCCGGACGCGACGTGGCAGCCGTTGTCGGCGAGCACCTGGGTGATCGACGACAGGAGGCCCGGGCGGTCGTGCACCGTGAACTCCAGCGCCGCGCAGTCCGACACGTCGGGCCCGCCCGGCCCGACCACGTTGCCGAGGCACGTCGTGAACCTGGGCGACGGCCCGTTGCCGCCGGGGCGCTGGCACGGGACGAGCGCCCGCTGGATGAACTCCGGCAGCGACGGGTCCGTCAGCTTCCGCCCCATCTGGTCTGTCACATGGAACACTGCATTGCACAGACACACCACAATTCAATCCCTTTTTTCACAATAAATTCCCACGACATCAACACGATCCAAAGGAAGTAGTGTTCTTGCCGTCCATGAGCCAGCCGCCATCGGAGGAGATGTACGACTTGGAGATGACGAGGTCGAGATCGGTGAGCAGCTGCACCATTTCCAGCAGCACGCCATCGCGGTTGACGCTATCAACCTATGAAACAAAACCCATCAAATCAACCATAAAACGAGCGCAATCGATCTCCACCCCCCACTCTGCTGATGAACAGACGAACCTTGACGAGCGTGCAGTCCTCGCGCGTCTCATTGTCAACGACGACCCTGCACGCGAGACCATGCACAGCCGCTCGTCACAATCATCAAAACCTGAAAAGGAAATCGAGAGAGAGAATTCACCACGGACGAAGCGAACGCGTGCGTACCCAGGTGTACCGAAGCGGTAGAGCAGCGGATCGAAATCCGGCTCGAAGTACGGCCCGGACACGTACTTCATCCCACCGAGCTCCCAACGTCACCAATGGCGTCCGTCGTCGTCACGTCCTGGACGCGAAATCTGCTGGGGGATTGACACACACACACGCACAGCGATAAGAACAGAGAGCAGATCCAATCCGATTCAATACCAAGAACAGAGGAGAAGAGAAGTAAACGAAGGAGATGAACACAACACGGTGAAAGCAGCCCATGGTTCACATGCACGCGCAAGCAGCGGATCGCCGGGGAGAAGAGATCACATGGCGAGATTTTCCCAGCCGCTTGCAGCAGAAACCAACTGAAAATCATATGCCCCTTCTCGCTGCTGTTCTTGACGTTGTGACAAGCGCAGAGAGAGTGTAGCGAGGAGATTATTGATGAGATTACCTTGGATTGGGTTGCGATTTCTTGAGGAGACGAGGTGGGAGGGAGGAGAGGAGGGCCACGTGCGGGCGATGCGGGGCGCCTGGTTCTCTTGCGCTGTGCGATTCAGCTTAAGCGGCCATCGCGTGATCGGTTTGGGGGTGTCTCTTTCTCTCTCTCTCTCTGCAACTCGGCGGATCGGCGGCGTTTGAGGATTTGAGCGCGCGAACGGCCGCGGCGCCACGTCGGACGGGCAGGACGGCACGTGGCGGGGGCGGCCTGGTTGCTAGCGTGTGCCCCTTTGTCCGGTTCATCATCACCGTACTGGTAGTACTAATTTTTCTTGGGCTATTCGGTGGTGGTGGTTCCTCGTGGCGCCCAAGATAGTAGCGGTATTTTGTTGATTTTTTATGAGCATTTCGTAATTCTTGTGATTACAGATGTGTACTCCCTACATTTTATTACTAAGATAAAGGAAATTTAGTTCATTATACAAGAATTATATGTGTGCATGCACAAATAAGTATTAAAATGATTCCGTTTAAATGTTTAATTTATCTCTTTATTTAAACCTTGGGTATATAGAGATTACAAATATAACCAAATTATTTTAAAAAACAAAATATAAAATAAGTCTAATATTTTTTTATAGATGGAGTATTTTATAAAAAGGCCAATTACAAATTTACCATTGTTTTAAATCGTTACTATATAATTGCTTAAAACCCCAATAAAAATACCATAATAACTAAATTTGAGGAAGCATCGGTAGTGTGAGTGTGGCAGTATTGTCGTCGGTGCATGACTCCATCTAACAGGGTTTAGCGAAGTGAAAGTAGCTCAAATGGTTATGTTCTTTGTCGTGGAAATAGCTTATCCGGGTTCAAATTTTAGATTTGACACGAGTGCTCGACTAACTATTCTTTCATGGGTAGGCGATGTACCCGTCGACAGCGAGGCGCCCGTGATGACTTCGTCAATCTGAAGGTATATCGGCTCAATCTTCCGAAGATGCTCATAGGGGTAGGGTGTGCATGTATGCGTTCATAGGGGTGAGCATACGCGCGTTATGAACGTCTGCGTTTGTACCGTATTTCTTAAAAAAAATCTAACAAGGTTTAAATCCCAATGTCCACAATTATTAAGATTAGAGTTTTGTCTCTTTAAGCGCGTGTTAGGATGTTAGGGTATATTCTCGGATGTGTGAGTGTGGTGTTATATGTGCAGTGGTCCATACGTCGGAAAAAAGAAAAACTAAAATCTTCAAAATGTTTTTGGTTCTACCAACACGTCAGAGCGACCCATCTCACGTGTAAAAATTACACATCGGCAACATTGCAATGTTTGCTTGTCAGCATGACTAAAGTAGACGACTCTGCTTGACGGCTGGAAATGTCTATGGCTCCACTTGTAGCGGTCAAGCAAATCCCCAATCGTCCGCTGTACAGTACAACAAAAGAGTCTGACGGACGCGGTGCGTACAGATGAAGTCGTGAAACCATACCAAATCCGTGGTATAGCTTTCATCTGCCTCAATAGATTGTTAAGCCCATCAATTGAAGCCGCCCCTTATTATGCAACAATTTGTATGGGCATGATAGGGTACGGACGCAGCCTGTCCGTCGTTCCTGAACCTTGATTACACGGCCATACGTACGGGCGGATTTTCTTATTGATTTCGAAGTTCGAACACGGACGACGATGATGATGATGACTAGGGCACCCGCAATGGTTATCTATAGGCTCTCTACAAAAGATCCATGTCAGTATATTTTTCTACTTGAAAGAGATTAAATGAAGAGAGAGAGCAAAGCTATCTACTAACTTGGAGATAGTCTATAGAGAAAAACGAGGCAATGAATTAGAGAGCTATAGATATCTATGTAGACATACCATTGAAGTGGTTTACTATTAATCTAGTCTATTACTGAGATGCACATGTTTTATAGATAGCACCTTACTTTATCATTGCGGGTGCTCTTAGGTTGATTGTGCGTACCGATGAATTTCTTTTGCTTCGGTAAGACGGCGCAGGAGAGCGCTGCCCAATCGTCGTGCCGCTTTTGCTTCGAGAGATTCGTTGAGCACCTACGATTAGCCGCAACCTATCCATGCCGGCTGCCGCTATGCGTGCAGGTGCAGCTGCACGGTCGGCCGCGCGTGCAATCCCCACACCCGCACCGCATCGTCAGCCGTCAGCCGCCGCTGGGCCTGCATGCACATGACGCGGATCTCTCTGTACGCGCGTACGTACGTGCGATGGCCGCAACGCGGCGCGGAGGCGGTTAACCTGCAAGTTTGTGCGCGAGTTGACTGACGCGGTAAACGTGGCGCCGCGGGGGACAAAGGCCCAACGGGCAACGTACGGCTGCGGTCGCAACGAGAAAGCGGTGAGACGTGCGCGCCGGTGCGGTGGGCGTGACGCCCGTGCGTGCGTGCGTGCGTGGGCAAGCGAGGGATGGGGGCGGCGCCGCGCGTGGGTGGTGCACGGGACGTTTGGTGGCGGCGGCCAGAGACATCCGCGCAACCGTGGCGTGTGCGCCGTGCGGTGGGCGGTGGCTGCAGCGGCGCACGGCGACGTCAGCACGCCGAAACGCGACTGTTTGCGCGCGCGTGCGTGGGGAACGTGGATGTGTCTGTGTGTGAAGATGCAGCGTGCGGGTTTCTTCTCTTCCCAGTATTTATGGGCAAGTCATTTTGTCCGCGAGGGAAATTATTTTGTTTTTAGATCATCTATACATTTATAGATAAATTTTTTTAAAAAAATTTGACAATATAATTATAGTATAATCGTGATGTAACTACACTATAACTTCCATATAACTACAATATACTCCCTCCGTCCTAGAATATAAACATTTATGGACTCTGACACGGTCTTCGAGATGCTACTTTGACCAACAATATCTATATAACTACAATATTATGATAGTTTGTTTAATGATAAATCTAGTAATATTAATTTGACATGATTAATTTTTTTTTTTGCTATTAATAGTCAAAGTTAAAAATGTTTGACTTGTCACATGCTAAAAATGTTTATATTTTGGGACAGATGGAGTAACTTGTATGTAACGTTCAAAAATCTCCATGTAACATGCTACTCCTTCCATCCTAAAATATAAGCATTTTTAGCACATTGACAAGTCAAATATTTTCAACTTGGACTATTAATAGCAAGAAAATAAAAAAAGACCAATCATGTAAAATCAATGCTACTAGATTTATTATTAAACAAACTATCATAATATGTAACTATATTTATTTAAAACATCTTACTTTTATAGATATTGTTGGTTAAAGTAGCATCTTACAGATCGTGTCAGGGTAAAAAAAAATGCTTATATTTTAGGACGGATGTAGTATTTCGGTGAAATGGAGGTTGTGGGAACGAATCCTCTCACTGTGTGCGTGCTGTGACTTTTTCCCTTCCTCATTTGCACAAATCTTGAAACAAATATAACGGTTCAAAATTACATTAAAGTTACATGCAAGTTAATTACATTACGATTGTACTGTAATTACATCTGTCAAATTTTTAAGAAAAAAATTTATGGATAAATATGTAGCAAATTTGTTTGTTTTCTATGTCATTTAAATAATTACGAAGAAAAAAAATAACATTATACACTATTATATATCACTACACAAAATACAAGTTTAAAAACGACTCACCTACAAATTCGAAAGATCGAATGACCATGAAAAAGCATAACACATGCTAGTATGCTACCGAAACAGTATGAGCGCGAAGGTGTATTTTTGCGTATGATTACCTCTTTGTTTATATGCAGCAAAATTCAAAAGCACTTCCACTGTTCCACATCCACATGGCACATGACAAAGTGATAAAACCACGGGCAAATTATGCAAAAAAACGAGTTCCTAGCTTAAAAAATACTTGCGAATCTGTTTGAACAGCTTCGCGTCTCCGCGAACGGAATATGTAGCATATGCAACTTATCTGGACTGATGGTCGTGTGTCTCAGTGTACCATCACAACATGACAAAACTTTCTAGCTGTCTCAGCCACATTCGACCAATACGCTGCGAGATCAAGGCCATAATTCATCATCATTTTTATTCTATGATCGTCTTCGAAAAGGGTGGCTGCTGCTGGTGTACTAACCAAATATGCTGCGAGGTCACATTCATGCGAGCGAGACAACATACGACTAACCAACGGGATGCAACTATGACCTATAATATCAACAAATTGACGACTTTGTTTCTTTTCCATAACGTTTTGCCTGATTTTGTTAGTACCACTGACCAGTCCATAATTGTCATGCTGTTACAGAGATGCTCACTTAGATCCAGTGGAACGATTCTCTTTGATTTTGCTCCTTGATAAGCCCAACTAGGTTTTGAAAAACATTTCAAAGGCAAAAAGAAAATCACCTTAAAATGTCTTGCTTAAGAGGATATCACCTCAAAAGGTTTGGACATAATGCGAGTATAAAGTAGCACATGGGTGACAGCTCTACATTGACTACCTGCATTTCAGTGTTTCCTGGCGATGAGCATCTGACCACAGCATGAGCGCAGATAGCAGTGAAATTGTGGCTGTCTCAACTCGTAGTCTGCATGGACCAAGACCTACAGGAACAGCGCCTGATGCTTTCAAAACGTTTACCTCCTCTTCCGTGAAATCTGATGAAATGGAGGTTGAGAAAACAAAGCATATTAGTTCCAGTGAAATAATACTACTGACATTGGTTTATTTTGGACCCCAGATTTTTCGGGCCAAATTCAAAAGCCATTAATTATTCGCATAGTTCAATCCTCAAAATTATATTTTGTGTTTTAAAATCTAGCATGCTTAAGGAAACTCGATGTAATCCCACTACTGAACTGCATTAATAAATACCAGTATAAATTTACTACTGTTCATTATGCTACTGCAAGAACATATCTTTGACATTATTGTGTGTGTTTTTCTTTTGGCCCTACATAAAGCATTCACTTCATAAAGCACAGACAACTAATATCACATCAAAATCGTGAAGTGCACATTTGATACAAGCAAGAAACAAGAATACTGAAAATCACATGTTTACCCTAACCAATGATCTTATTATTTTAATAATTAGACATGAATCTAATCTATAGTTAGACTTACCTCCTTCTGGTCCAACAATCAAAAGCCCACTTTCTTCATTGCAGGACTTCGGCAAAGTGCTTAAAAGAGGAGGTGATTCTGCTGAAGCTACGAAAGCGAGCTTTGACTGTGATACCTGATGATAGATAACACAATAATATGACTTTGTCAATCACACATCGTGGTGTAAAAGAAGATGCAATAATGACTCTGGTAGTTCTACATTCTAGTACATACATTAAAATTTTATTCCTATGTTTTATTCTTAACAAAATTTTCACTGCACAATGCATCATGACCATTCACTCCACAATGCAGTACTAAAGATTATTGCGCTTTGACCTAGAACATTTGCTCAACAAAGGTCAATATCATGCTTGCCCACTTTATAAAAAAGCAAGTTACTGGATCCATACAAAACTCTTACTATCCAATGCATGAACTAGGTAACAAAGTTACAATGTTATGTGCAAAGATAATAAAGCATATGTGAACACTTACAACAGGCTGAAGGTCAGCTATCTGAATTGGGGGATTCAGCAACATTCCATGTATTCTCTGGCCTAAAGAAACAAGAGTAATGCTGTCAATTTATTTCAGTTCATTTTGCTCTGAAATCTTGGTGCCAACAGAGACACATACATTGTTTAACTGCAGCTAACACAAGCCTTTGCAATCTGTCAACTCTATTTTCTGCTATTGTATGGCATCGCTCTGTAAGAAGAGGTGTAACACTACAAGCTCCAAGCTCCTAAACAGAGAAAGAGTAAAATAATGTTTAGAAGTAGATTGTGAAGAGACAAGACACCCAAAATTGTACATAACATACAGTACATTTCTCTACAAGCCAATCTGCACGTCCACCTTTCAATGTCCCTGGGGAATGGAATTATAAAATGGTAAGCTATGGAGAAGAAAACTACCCTGTATTCACAGTAAGTGCGCATAATTTATGGGACTCACCAAATGCAGCATAAACATGCCATTGAATGCCATCAGGAGCAATGAGTCTAGCATCCTCAAGCAACTTCACATCTGAACCGCCTTTGTCAACTTTTTGTATAGATCCTTCAACCAAACCACCCGCGCCATCAAATAGTTCAACCCTTCCAAGTTTTCATATAAAGTTTCAATATGTACACAAATAGTAATCAGACTCATAATAAATAAATAAATTTGGTGCCTCGAAGTAAAAGCTGAAAATTTTACACATATGGCTTATCATATGAACATATGCAGCAATCAAATTATTTCCAAACTTCGGACTCTTAGGATCAGCGGTGGATAGAATTTCTACTAAATAATCTAGCATTGATGAATTGAAGCTGGAATTCACCGCAGCAAATTTACACTCATGCAGAGCAATAAGACAGACCTGTCATTTATGCCAAGGCGCAAGACTCTTGTCATGTGCCAGAATTCGTCTCCTTGGATTCGAACCTCTTCACCCTGAAAGGAAATACCTATATTAGATACAGGCATACAGCTGATATTAAGGAATGGAACATCACGCAGAAAACCCACGCACACCACCTGATCGGCAAAATGCCTATGGGGTAAGTGAAGGAACAGCGCTCTACACTCTACAGTCTACACGACAGACAATGTCTTCCCACGACAACGGGGACGAACATTTCTCTAGTGGTCATAGTCTACCAACTACCAAGAAAGCTTACGACATGCTGAACCTATTGAGCACGAGGTGCTCGACGAAATGACCACGCCGACCCAGATGGACGTGTCGAGCAGCCGAGCAGGGGACAATGAATGAAGCGCGCGCTTGCCTTGGACGAAGGGAGCGTCGGGGAATGGAAACGGGGCAGGCCACCGCGCGCGCGGCTCCCGCCGGCCGTGCTGTGCGCTCGCGCGGCGGCGGCGACGAGGAGGCGCCGGCCCCGCGGCGGCGGCAGCCCGCGGAGCAGCGCCGAGAAGGTGGCGGCTGGCGACATCCCGGCGGTCCCGCTTCAACGCCGTCGAGGCAGGCCCACTCCCCAATCGCTCACGCCGGATTCTCCCCGGAGCCGGAGCCGGAGCAGCCGAGCCACCGCCCAGCAGATGAAGCGAGCAGACGAAGGCACGAAGCACCCTCGGATGTAGCGGCGGCGGTGCACTTTGCGCCCTACGCAATCCGTGGCCCAACGAATCATAAACGAGATTTTATGGAATAAGTTCATCTGAGATCCCTTAACTTAACATTCTCCTCCTTGAACCAAAAAATCAGATACAACAGGTCCCTCAACTGTCTAAAACGGTGCAATATGTTTGGACGGTGATTTTAGCTGTCGTGGCGCATACGTGGCTAATTTGACTCGGTCTTCATATGATATGACATTGACATCCAGATTTTATTGCGTTGTAAAGCTTTGACAATTGTGACCCGGCCCATACTACTGTTTGGGCTAAAATTTTACTTTTAGGGCTGATACGGCCCATTATATTTTTGGACTGACAATATTTGGGCAAATATGGACTACTACTTTCTTAATTCTTTGCACACGACGTCATGGCAGTAGTATCAATGTACACATGCACCGGCCACGTACGAGTACACGATCTGTCCTCAGTTGTGCACCCGTCTCCTCCCCGGCAGCACCGCCGGCAGGCGGGACAGGTCCAGCGTGGGGTGCGCCGGCGACTCGGCATAGCCGGCGACGGCGGGAAGAGGAGTGGCGCCCTGCAGCACGGTTACGGCACCGCCGTGCCTGCACGACATCACCCGTGCGTACCTCGCGCCCGACGCCCACCCGTTCCACATGCCGCACCCGCCGCGCGCGGCCGCCTTGGCTTTCTTCTTCTTCTTCTTGTTGCCGGCGCCGGCGCGGCCCTTGGTGCACGCCACGTAGGCGGCCAGGAACGGGTCATGCTGCTGAGGCGGCGGCGGCGCACGGATCCTCACCACCGCGCCATGCGGGCCCACCACGATCGTGGGCCCAACGTGCCACGCCGTGGGAACCCGGGTCCCACCACGCCCCTCGCGGTGGGCCCTGCACGGTGGCAGCGGCAACGGCAGCATCTTGTTGCCACCGTCGTCGTCGTCGTCGTCCGCCGCCACGTCGCGGCCGCGGCCGCGGCCTCGCACGAGCGCGTGCAGCGAGCCCGGCCCGTAGCCGCGTACGCCGCCGCCCGGTTTGATCAGCCGCCCCGCCGAGCCGTCGTCCTCGCACAGGAAGATCGGGTTCGCGGCAAACAGCGGCGGCGGCTGCACCTCCTGCTCGGCGGCCCGCCTGGTCCGGCGGCTCGTCGCCACGCCGCTCCTCCGGCTCATCTCGTGTTCTTCTCCCGTTTCACCGGCTCACTCCGATCGATCGATCGACGAGTTAAGTTTTTTACTAACGCCGTCGAGGTTTTTTATACGCGACGATCAAGTACTCAGCTCTCGTGCGACCGTGGCCGACCTTGGCACGTAATCTTTACCTTGGCATGTGAGCAAGGAGGCGTGGACGTGTCGTTGCTGTTCCTTTCGCGCCTCTTCACTCCGATGCCCACTGCTCCGCCCGTGAGATCGCTACGTGGTGCAGCGCGCACACGTACTCTGCAACGCCACACACAACGCGAGCGATCGACTCGGCTCGATCGACTACTGCTTTGGCATGCGTTGCGTTGCGTGATCGGCTCGGCGATTTCGGCGTCGGTTCAGGTCGTTTTCTGAATGGCGTTTGCAGTCGGTCTCGTGAACACAAGAACGTCCGTGAAATGCAGCCGCACTGTGACTCATGCGTAGTACTAGTACTGCGTTTTCTGGAAGACACAAGGCAGTGGTGTGAACCTGTACCTGATAGTGCGGCTAAGCTCACACTAATGCTGGGGCAAGTACGAAAACATTCGGATAGTATAAACACGGAAGCATTCTTTACCTGTACTGCTAGTACACACGAGTGCATTGCTTTTCAGTAATGTATTGCACGCGCGCGACTTTTGTCCAAACACAAGCTAGCGAGCACACGTGACGGGCAGGCAGGAAAAACGGGGAAACCCCTCTGTGTCAAAAATTTTCCCTTTCTGTGCCTCCAAACAAAACCAGTAATTTGCATCCAGCAGTGAACATTCTCCTTCAAATAATCAGAATAGGCATGAGAAACAAAGTAAAATAAGCACAAGAAAATGAAAAAAAAATAAAAATATTGACATGTCTAGCAGGTGAGCAATCAAGGAGTCACCCAGGTCAGCCCATTCCTGGAGGAAGAACACTACTATCATCTATCCATCCATGTGTGTGGTATGCAATGCATGGATCGCTTTTGAGTCTTCTGGGTGCATAAAAAGCAGGTGGCAAATGGCATCAGGGCTCTCATCTTGCACACCAGTGCAACTGCAAGCCTAGCTAGCTGCTATTGCTGCTGATGATGAATCATTCTACTGTAGGCTACTGTAGAGCAAATCATCAAAAGGGAGAAAACCACACAGTGCTTGCTTGCTGCCTGTGGTGGAGTAGAGGCTGGCCATGGATGCATGCATGCAGTGATGAACATTGGGTAGTTACACAAGCTAGAGGGAGGCTGGTCTCTTTTTGCAGGGCTTGGCAGCTGTTAAAAGAGGAAGAAAAGGCTGGTGGTGAATGGTCCTGAAATTTGTATCATTGTATTCTGGTGAGGCTGTTGGTTGGGAGTACAATCAGAACTGGATTAGACCACTAGTCCACTCTGTCAATAATAGTGGGAAAAGAAAGACCGCCCTCAGGCTCCAAAAAGCAATGCTAAACTATTTGGTCAGAATTTTGCACAGATTTAATCGCAAGGACCCCCCCCCCCCCCAAAAAAAAAAAAAAACCCCAATTGCCTCGTCCAAACTGACCTAACTATAGTTCTCATTTGTCTAGTTTAGTGACTGCAAACAAAGTAGAAGTACTATGCAAAACTAGTATACACCGAATATATGGTCCAATAATTGGGAGACAAACAGAACAGTCCGTACACGAAATACCAGTGAAACACTACACGAATGCCGCATGGACCAACTAAAATTACCAACAAGCATCAAGAAGTCAAGAGGAATACTTATATCAGCTCACAAACAATCCATTGAATACTACCAGAAAGCAAGACAAGGATCGGATTACATTCATCCGCGATTATGACGTCACAGCATGGGATATTTTAAGATGATATGCCACAATGGAGTACCAAATCCATCCATACCACACGTCATATCACGTCAAGATCCAAGGTGAAGGTTACAAAGCAAAGGAAAAATAACAGAGCAGAAATACCAAAAACACAAGATTAGTCTGAATGACAAAGCACCGAGGTAAATGCTCACACTTGAAGACGTCATAACGATATGTAACAAGGTGAAGACTGATTGAATCGTTTCCTCATGCCTGTCATCTTGTTGCATTTTTTGTTGATCAAGAAGCTCACACCAGGCGGATGCTCGGATGATTTACAACAACTGAACCGAGATCATCCCGCAGGTTACTGTTGCCATCATAAACACTATGATTCTCCAGTCTAGGACTGCTTCCGGTGCTACTGGATACTGATCCAAAGGTGGTCTTCTGCAGAACACCAACTGGGGATGAATCAAACCCTGAGCTTGAATCCCAGCCATCATTTAAAAGATTCAGAGACTCCGATAGGCAATTCCTTGCTTCCATGTTGTTATTCTTGGTTAAAACCTCTCCCAATGGTCCGCCCATCAAAGAATCACGGAACATAGGCATCCAGTTTGCTTCTCCCTGGTTAACCTCATCTCTATTTGCTGCAAAACCGAGACCAATAGGACTATATTCACGGCTCAGTTTAAGTGGTGACAACATCAGCTTCTCATGGATGGGAGATGTTGAGGCTGATGACAGGTCAGAAGACGCCATTGGAGCAGATATTGAGAGCTGGCTTCTCTGAGCTTGCATGTCTTCAGCATCAGGCCATGCGAGAGCTCCTTGTGCAGGTGTCCTTGGCCAGTCCACAAAGTGTTGAAGGGAAACTGAACTCTGTTGTTCATTCAGACTCTGCGAAGTGAGCAAATTGACGTTCTCCAAGGAGCTATGAGGAGAACTCATCAGTGAATCAGGTGATACTAGGCCAAAATCTGGCCTTGAGTTGGACACTTCAAAAGGATTATGTTGTTTTGAGAACGGAAACAGGCTGCCCGTATTTCTCGTGCTAATGGAAGTCAGCATCGAGAGACTGTCTGAGTCTTGCACTTGTTCACTCTCATTATGCTTGTTTGCCAGATCCCTGTAGAAGTTTGATCAACAAGTGATTCATTAGTGAAGTAGTTAATACAGCATATAGCAGTTGTTCCTTTAGTATGGCAGTTCTTCAACGGCCACTCTACTCACAAAACAAGTACCTTTAGGGCTACCAGAGTACATAGATGAGCAATGTAAATAATGGACTTGTTTAATTGCTGGTAAATGATTAATAGCTTATCTTTGGGGCTCATCTCCAATCATGGTAGCTAAATAAACTAGGTAACTAAATTACCTTCTATCTTTATTATTTGGTGGATGCCGGCAGGCAAATATGTACGGAAATGGAATATCCATGCAAAATGGCAAAAGCGAAACTTGACGTCTTGAGCTTAAGCATTGGCTACATGATTGACTAAAAGCAATATTTGGAGCTTGAAAGTGCTGCCAACATTCTACCTGCTATATTGCAGAGAGCAAGGATTGGCAGTGTTGGCAGCGTAGTTCTTCATTTGCTGGTGCTGATGGTTGATAGCGAGGCCAGCAACAGCTCCGCCACTGTGGGCGGCCGGAGCACTAGGCTGGGTAGCAGAGGCAGCGGCTGCTGCCACCGCCGCGGGCATCGCTTTCGCGGCATGGCCAGGCTGGCCTTCCACATGCTTTCTTGAACGGTGGCGTCCCCGGTTCATGTGTCGCTCACAGTACTTCTGGTCGGCGACCGCATCCCTCGAGCACCGCCATTTCTTGCCGTCCGTCCGGCGGCACCGGCCGGGCTCCGGATCCGCGCTGCCGGAGTAGCCCAGCTGGAAAGATCCCCATCCCACTGCAAAGCAAAAACCCAACCAAGGGCAATGCAACCAAGATCAGGGAATGGAACAGCTTTTATCATAAATATCAGTCCATGATGAAAGGAACTAAAGCCAAGAAAGCATTCGGTTGATCTGCTTCCTTTCCCATTTCTTGGCTTACATGTGCTTGAGCCAAAGTAGGCAGGTGAGTAGGGCGATGTGAGGCTCCTCCTGATGGGGATGAGGAGGCTGTGTGGTACAGGGCTATTCGCAGCCAAGTACTTGTATATCAGCGCCTGGTGCTCCAGCTCGATCCACTGAGACGGCGTGAAGGGACCCCTCACCCTGGCCATTGCACCCTGCATGCTGCTGCTCAAGCTCACTGAGCTCAATCCTGCAGCCAGATACACCAAGGAGATGAGCAACAAGCTAGGCAGTGCAAGCCAACAAGGCACAGCCAAAACACACATGTACTTTATAGAAGACGAGACGACGACCACCATCCAGATGCATGTGTTTCCTAAACACGATCCTTGTGCAAGATATAACATAGATAGGGGCAAGCAAAAGACACAAAAATCTGAAGCAAAGTGGCTGCAAGGATCAGAAGCAGCACGGATTTGTAGGTGGCGTGTGCATAAAAAGTCACCAACCAACCACATGTTCGATCCGTTGCAGCAAAGCTTGATTCGCGTTTGCCGCATTGTTTACTTGAAACCTTTCTTGCATGTTTTTATTTTTCCTACTTTAACCTTTCTTTCTTCCCTAGTGAGAAAAACGTAGTAGAAATAGTAGTGATATAATGCTAAAGATCACGACTTTTCTCATCCATATATGTGCTTTCTCCTTTAGTTTCGGCAAAAGGTATGACGAAAGAGAATACGCCCGATCCGCACCGATGAGGACAAGAAAGCGTTTGTGGATGTCACTGAAAAGAACAGGAAACTTATACTCCAGTATCAAGAAAAAATCAAGAACTAGTTTATACTCACACTCATCTATGCTAAAGATAATAAACTGGTCTATTTCAGAGGAAGTGAGCTATTCGCAGTCAGTGATCTAGTCAAAAGGAGACAAAAAAATGAGAAATATGAAACAAAAAAAATACAAGATGCAAATCCGAATCTAAACCACAATAGTAAAAGAACCAAGTGGGAAAAAAACAAAAACTAAAACTAAATCAGCTCCATCCCATCCCAGTGTGAGCAAGGATCAAGCATGATGCATAGCAACGAATAAAAAGGCAGAGAAGTAGCATAAAAAATGGAAAATAAATCTATAACAAAGAGAGATGAATCAAACAGCAATAATACTTGAAAAGGAGCAGAAAGCTTTTCAATCACCAAATCGAATCAGACGAGCAGAACAGAAAGAAGAAAAAAATAAAGGAAACGAAAAGATTTTTGCACCATCCTCACCTGAGCAAGAAGCAGGCGTGCCATAGTACAGCGGCATCGCCCCGCCAGCCGCCGCCGCAGCGGCCACGGCGGCGCCACCGCCGCCGGAGGAGCACGACGAGGCGGAGGACGAGAAGCTGAGCATCTGCTCCCCGCCATGGCCGGGGCTACATGACGCCCCGAGCAGGAACGGCGCCGCCACCTTGACCGCCTCGGACACCGCCGCCGCGGCCGCCACGGCGGCCGCGGCGGAGGACGCGTCCCCGCCCCTCGCCTGCTTCGCCGGCGGCCTCCATTCGTGCTCCTGGTCCCCCGCATTGCCCCTCCCGTGCTTCATCAGCCTAGATCCGAGCAACCCTCCCCCACCGAGCTCCCCGCCGCCACCCCCGTCCACCGCCGCCATCACCACCCCCACCCCGCCACCCAGGTCCATCCCCACCTCCTACCACTGCCCCCTCCTGCTCCCCCGCTCATCCGCCGCAGCCGCAGCTACCGGAGCAAGCGACCGCATCCCCCCCTCTCTCGCTGTGCGGGTTGTGGTGGCGCGCCGCGCGAGCGCGCGCGTGCTCTCGCGTCGCGTCGCGTCGCCGGTGGAATGGCGGATGCGTCGTCGTCGCGGGCGGCTCGTGTTCGGGAAACCGGGATGGTTTTCCTTTTGGGGGCAAAGGCTAGCCACAAGCCCCAAGTACTAGTAGTACAACACCCAGGGGTAAAAAGGGAAACTTGTTTGAAGATTTTTACTGCTACTGCTCCATATTTTTTTTAACCGAGTCATTTTACTGCTCTAACCACCGGCAAAATTGATGGTAAGGAGAGATCTTACTGTATAGCTGTGGCAGTAGTAAGTGGTACTGTAGCTGGTAAGATTTATTTGTCTGGGGGATTTTTTTTTTTACCTTTAATGTAGGGTGCCGGTATCTTTGCATTGTAAAGTTGCTCCAAATGCTACTAGATTCAACAACATTTATAAGAAGGATTATGATTCCTACCCAGAAGATTCAAAAGACATTATCTTTCCGAGAAGAAAGTACTACTGGAATAGCTAAGCCGAAACCACCATTTTGTCCTATAGATCAACCAGGACAAGCGTTGTGTTTGTGCAAGAGATGAACTGATAGATGTAACCGGTAGTTGACAATAGCAACAAGAGCAACTAACACCAACATTTGGTGGGTTCGATCGTTCTCCTCCCTACACATTGAACGGCAGGTACGTAGCATAGTGACACTGTGTGATATGCCGATAGCTTCATATCACTTATCTAGAGCTTATAATTGGTGTTAGATTCAGTTTTAGAAAATGAAATTTGGAGAAAGAGACGTCTCTAAAAAAAATTAAGAAGAAAATGTGAATGTATTGGGAACGGTATGGTACCTTGGAGTTAGAATCACACATCTCTTATCATTGCACTATGGAGTATATGTTAGTGTATATTTGTGTTAGATTCAGTTTTGATTGATATATGAGTTTGTTAGCTACTAGCTGCGTGCTTAGCTCCAGCCGCTCACTGGGCGTGGAAATTAGGCAATTAGCTGGTAAGTAAGTAGTAGTACTATCTTCCTGCGCTAATTAAGATATTAGGCCATGGAATCGCAGCCACGCGAGACGCACGTATGCATGGATCGATCGGTCCATATCTGTGTATATATATTTGTTGCGCACATGCACCTGAAATACCGTAGGCTAAGATCGCAGGAGTATCAATCATGGTTGAAGATTAGCACGCTAGACCACACGAGCAAAGCGGACGAGTCCTGGATCTCAAACAAGGTTAATGTGCAGTTTAGAGGAAATATATAACTTGAAGGGCCATTCAGTTTGGAAGATTTTGCACGGGAATCTTGGAGGAGTTAAACTGTTTTATGTTAAAAAAAACCTCTAAAATTTCTGCGTTCCGAAAAAGACCTAAATGCTCTATGACGAAGGGTTTGACAAAATAGTGCGGTGTAGTGGAATTAGTATGTTTTCAAGAAAAAGAAAAAGAAAAGGAAAGGAAATCACGAGGCAGCTCAGCTGGTTGATGTCTGAACCGTATAGCTAAAAAGTTAAATTTTAAAACTTAATTTTTAAAATTATTTATAGCTGTCTATTTTTCACCATATAAAAACTTGTAATATATATATATATATATATATATATATATATATATATATATATATATATATATATATATATATATATATATATATATATATATATATATATAAAGTTGCTTCATATATTTCAACTGCAGCTTTACCGCCAGAGCCCATATTTCTAAACTCCTATATTTAGGTCATGAGCTTAAAATTTTAAGAAACAATTAGGCTGTGTTCGGGAGAAAGGGTTAGGAACCCCTCCTCCCCGGCATGCAAAACGATGTTTGCATTAATGTGTGATTAATTAATAGCTAATTTTTTTCAAAAATGGATCAATATGATTTTTTTAAGCAACTTTCATATAGAAAGCAGTTTGAAAAACATATGCGTGGAAAGCGAGAGTGGGGAGTTGTAAACTCTCAGCAAAGAATGCAGCCTCAGTATTTATTTATAAAGATTGGGTTTTCTAGCTTATGGTTACTATTTATTTTTCTAACCTTTACGACTATAGTTGATTTCAATCTAAGTTTGAATCTGAACCATCTTTCTTGATGAAGATTTTAAGTAGAAGTGGCCGTTGTTAAAAACTGCCCTTAATTTACAGAACCTAGCTTGCCGGGCGCCAAGGTGTGACAGGGATGGACCTGCAGGGACCCGATCGGAACACCGAACGGTTTCCACGCCCGTACGCTGTCCGCTTTTCGCCTCCGGTACGTTGCGTGCGTTCTCAATTTCTCCAACCTCTCGATCTTTGCCTTCTTTTGCCCGGACTCAGTAAAGACTCGGTAAATCAAGGCCGTAAAAAGAAGAGCTTTTGTATATCACCATATCACCTCCGTTCGCTCGCTGCAAGCTGCACGCGAGAGAGAATGTTCACCCAAACAGTAGGGGTAAACCGTGCTAGATCAGCTCAATTAACGGTAATCCCGCTGTGTTTGGCGGGCTACCTAACGCCCATTTCTACTGCAGATATATTCACTCTCATCGCACGAGAGTTACTGCCTCTATCATTCTACAATGATGGGATAATATTGTTATTTTTTTCCCAAGGCATTTCGATTTTTTTTTGTCTTTTTACTCTCCGTTATTTTTACCCCTAACACAATACATACTCCATAACCATTTTTCGATAAGTTTGAGGTGACAAACAATTATGATTGGTTAAATAAAACTAGATAAAAAACTAAATAAAAGATAGTTACGATTGATTATGATGGAGAATAGGTGAATAAGCACTTAAAAATGTTTATATTTTAAAAGAGATGATGTATTATTGATAAGAGTATATAATATATATGGAGTAAAAGTACTATGCTATATTATTACCGTGAGGTAAAACATCAGATGGAATTAAAAAACCAGTAGCATGACATAATCGTCACCCTTGGCATTAAAAACGTACACAATGGCACTATCTTCCAAAATAAATACTCGTGCAAACATATGCCAGTTGTTTGAAATGTCCCCCTTTCCCATCCAAATTAATTTACTACTGCCCATTTGTTTAGCCCTCCTCGATGTACTTAGGGCATTACAAAACCATCAAGTAGCAATATGCGTGGTCCAAGAGCACGGCTCCCTCACGTGCCTTCCCCCAAGCCATCACGAGCGGCTTAGTTTCTTAATAGCGAAAAAAATGTATAAGTATAGCTATAGTTAATTAACCTCTGCCTAATCGAGCTTTGTCACGGAGCTCTTTCTTTTTGGGCGGTCGTGATCTTGGTCAAAGAAATGGTAAGATTCTAGCAAGCTAGGGGGGGCCTCTCATAATGCTTATTAGCTTATATTAGCAATGAGATCGATCGATCCATGTATATATGGGTGGCATTGTACTTGTTTAGAGTTAACTTTAAGGTTACGCATAGATTAATTAGGTAGGCTTTGTAGGAGGGAATAAAATGGTCCCAAGTTGTTTGTGGTACAAATCTGGAATAGGTTTGCATTATGGTCTTCACAAAAGGCTAATTACTTGGCCTGAAAGATCCTTATTGTACAATTAGAGGAGATAATATATATTAAAAATATCAAACAAATAAAACAAATAAAACCAGACCTAAAAGTTTTCCAAATCCATGATAAAATTACTAAGTGATTGGTATAACCATAAACTACACTACCACGCTACGACTACATCTCAAGTCCAAACTCAACTTTACTTAGGAGAGGAAAAGGATAAAATTTAGATGACCAGGAATTTCACATGCTTTTACGTATTTGATGGTTAACACTGGATATTCCCTATGCATTTTTTAAGGCAAGTAAAATGGTTGAGATGGCTACTGTTAGAATTTATATTATATACAAATACAAGAGAGATATGATGGTATTTAATTAATATTACATTTATTTTTTATTCTTCACATGAGGTGTTCTTTTTCAATGGCTGAATAAATGAATGATGTGTGATAATAAATTTGAGAGTACAAATAAATAAAAAATAAAATTTTTCAAAAAATCATATCCATAATCTTTTTAAAAAAATATTGTTTATGAGTTTGAAAAGTGTGCCTATTAATAATCCATTAATTCATTAAGCAGATAATTAAATAAGAGGGCCGAGACCAGCTCCTATGTCTCTTTCCTCTCTCATTTACATCAACAAAATAAGTGCTATAAAATATTTCATCAATTGGAGTTAATTATACTTATACGTACCTGCCATATTTAAGAAAGTTCTCTGTATGTTGACATCAACAAAAGCATCAGCTCGCAAGTCCTATATACGTTGACATTTGGCCACCCATATAAAAACGGTCCATGCATCACCCTCCTCTTTCACTAGTTAATTTAATCTCTAGTCAAACATCATTTGGGCGTGTCAATGGTCAATTACTCCACTAGCTACTCATGCATGCATGAGAGACCAGGTTTCCTTCCTGCAACACGTTTCATCGATCAAAGAAAAGCTCGAAAAAAGGTAGGAGTAGTAGTAACAGGAAAAGATAGATATCCCTTACTGTAGCAGAGCAATATCACTGTTGCATCCTCACGCGCAGCTATCAAGATCAAGCAGCAAATGTGTTCAAGGATGGACCCCTACATCGATCGATCAACCCCCTTTGTTTTCAAGGCTATGGATGATGCAAAAATACACAGACAAACTCTAATTAATTGATCTTTTGGGCTGGCTGTCCGGCCAATTATGCGCTCCAAAACCTGCTTTTTCTTGCGGTCCCTGAAGCTTTTCTTCCATCGAGTGTAGAACAAACATCTCTCCATCGCTTTCTCACAATCTCTCGATCGGATGATTCCGATCATGCATGGTAGCTAGGGGGAAAACGTGCCGAGTAACAATCAAATCGAAGCAGCAGAGCGGCCGATCATTTCTCTCCCTCCCCGAAAAGTCTCACTTCTT